ATGTTTACTTCACATCTCCAAATAATATTGGATTAACGAAAGTGCATGATGTCGTTGATCCATCTAATACCGGTTTAAACAAGAAAAACTAATAGATTCTGATTGGGCAACTTCTCTTTTTTTGGTCAACACAGATTGTGCAACTTTATCTTAATTAATTAATTAGTACTTGATCCAACCTCAAGTGTAATGTAAAAAGTAACATGAAATCATTAATGACGGGCTTGGCTTCTTGTATTTCCAATCCCTCTCTGTAACATTCTTTTCTTTTCTTTCTTTGACTTTCAGGGTCTAGCTAGCTAGGTGACTAACTTCTACCTACTATAGCCTTCCTTGCCGCCATAAGCAATGGGAGTATCATCTAATATATAAAGCTTTTAAGAAAGTTGGCTGCTTTTAAGAAAGTCCCAGATTTACTTTTGTTTTCGATCGAAAAGAAGGCAGATGTGTCAAAAAATGTGGAGGGACTGATCCAGATGTGTCAACACAAACCTAAAAGAAGGCAGATGTGTCAACAAATATGAAAATCATTCATCAATACCTCAATATTTGTTTTTTTACTTTTTTCTGAATAATGCTTTTATTTTCTCTTCTGCTCAATCCCAATTAATGAGACATCGTTTTGAGTTAGACCAATAAACACGTGCAAGGAATCTAAAGAGAATCAGGAATTTGAAGAAATCTGAGGTTCTGAACAGAACAAGCATAAGCATTAATATATATCACGTTTTCAGGCCTCTTATCTCAATATTCAAGTAAACGGCTTTGCTTTCACAATGAAATTTGAGTGTTCCAAAATTCACATTAATATACATGACGTTCACGCCCTCTTATTCTTGCTTCCAAGCAACAACGAAAAATAAAACAAGATCCTAAAAAAGAATCCCCAAGCTAGCGTAACCCACAAGCAACCCCATTTATCTAACTGTTGTATCCCTTGCTGCTTTAGCAACTCAGAACCCGTCCTCAAACACCTTGATTCCGTTAACTCCATCCCCAAATAACTGCTCATTGTCTCCAAAATCTTCTCCTTCGTCGTTGCAGAAACTCCTTCCATTAATGTACCATCAAAAACTTGGTTTCCTCTCACGAAACAACGAGATGGGTCATCGAACTCGTTGTGCAGAACAGCTTCGTATGGATACTTTAGCAGAGAGATGTAATGAATCCATATCCAATAAGGATGGATCCTATCGCGGTTGATGTAGAATCCGCTGAAGAGAAGACAGTATGAGAGATATCCAAATGTGACCATGTAACTCATCATCACGTTTGGAATCACACCAGAGACAAATGTAACAAATGAGCATCCGGACCAGAAAGACGCAAAGATGATCAGAAGATAGTAGATGAAACCCGCCACACCTCCGTTTAAACCTACGAACCAGAACGTGGTCGCTGCAAATCCAATGGAAAGCGCAAAAAGATGAGGCAAAGTCACGAGAGAGTGAGATATAACGTAGGAGGATCTTCGATAGGCGTTGTGTGCGGTTTCTCTCAAGAAAATGTATCTTTCTTGGATAAAAGCAGGCAATCCGTCTGCGCAACTGTAAAACATCGTGGCCATTGCGAATGAGAAGAAGCTTAACCTCTCTTGGACACCTCTTGGAGAGTTATCTACTTTCCAGTAAACCGTAGCCAAGAGAAAACCGGTCATCATGACTATGAAAACCCGTGTTCCGATTAGCTCGGGCGTTCGGGTCCAGTTTATCATGTAGCGTTTAGCTAAGAGTATGGTCTCGATCCACCATGGATTTACGTATGATGGGATCGAGCTATATGAAGTAGAGACAAGTTTTCCTCTGGAAATGCTTGCGTTGATGGCTTCTTTCAAGGATGATGAGTTACGGTGAGGTTCTTGGCTAACTCTAAGCTTCTTCTGTTGCCAGTTTCGGTTGAATTCGACTAACCCTCTTGTTCCTTGAGAGGATCCTTCAAGCTCTTTGATTAGGTCAAGTGTGAACTCTGCATTGTTCTCTTTATACGGTATTGGACGACCAAATTCTAAGAAGAAAAAAGGGAGAGTAGCCGGAGAATCACTAAAGACACTCTGACCAGAAGATAAGACGATGATCCGATCAAGAAACTCCATAATCCGACAACTAGGCTGATGGATTGACATAATTACGATGCTGCCACTAGACGCAATGCTTTTCAAGACTTGCACCACCATGAAGGCATTAGTTGAGTCTAGTCCTGAGGTTGGTTCATCAAGGAACAAGACGATAGGGTCGTGAATGATGTCGGTCCCAATGGATACACGCCTTTTTTCTCCACCGGAGATGCCACGATGACCTTCGTCTCCGATCAAAGTGTTTCTAACAGTTCTGAGCCCTAATTGATCGATTAGGGTTTCAACTCTTTCTCTCTTCTTTGATTTGGTTAAGCTTCGGGGAAGGCGAAACTCGGCAGCGAACATAAGGGTTTCTTCGACAGTGAGCATAGGGAAAAGGAGATCATCTTGCATTACATAAGCCGATATAACTTTTAACATCCGAGACTGCAAGGGTTCTCTATTTAGAGTTACCGTGCCTTTCAAGCTACCTTCCGCAATCCGTCCTGCTAATGCATCGATAAGTGTCGATTTTCCAGCTCCGCTTGCACCAAGAACAGCTAAGATTTCTCCTTCGTTAGCCTCTCCGGTGATACCATTAAGCAGAGTCTTTACCTGAGCAGGGCTATGTCCGAAATGAAGACCAAAACGCCGGTGAACTGTGACGTTATAGATGAGGTCTTTAAATGCGAGGATGAATGGAACGGGCCGTGTCTCAGGTGAATCAACATTGATTACGGCGTCTCTTTGAAGCATTTCGCCGGAATATCAACACTAGGAGCTGTGCTTTTGTTTGTACTCTGTCAGCTAGCGCAAATGCATGAGAACGTTAGAAGTTTTATATTAGGAAAATATTAATAGTTGTATTATATCTTCCATTTTCTTGAGAAAAAATAGGATTATAATTTTTCCGTTTCTTTGTCTATAACTCTATTTTATATTTCACTTTTCAGGAAGATTAATTATGGTTTGGTGATTAATTGATGAAGATTTTCCATTTAAAAGAATCTCGTTTTTGTGAATATTGACAGCATTTTTTTTTGGGTAAGATGTTAAGAATATATTGACAGCATTTGATAAGTAAACTCTATTTTCCATATATAATAAAGCAACTCTTTAAGAATTCATGGTTGTTAAAAAAACACACATAAGAAAAGAGAACAATTTTTTCTACCTAATGAAGTGTTTTTTCAGGAGATCCTTGTCGGTGTGACGTGCACATAACGGAATGATGCGTCAAATTACAGCCGAGTAATAGAATCTCACAAACTCTTGTATAGTATCCTTATCTATTGCGTTTAAGAAGCAATGGTGATCATTTTGGGTTTTTATGATAGAAGAAACTTGTGAATGAAACTTAAGAAGTTTATGGAGCTTCTAGTTGTGTAGTTGTGGATTTTATGTAAAATTATATACTTTATATATACTCGTGGAATTCTTTGAGGTTCCGTTACGTATTAATAAAGCCCCTTAGAAATGTATTTTGCATTTTGTGTGTTGTGTAGGCACACACAGTTCCTGTTTTCTTATGGCTTTGTCCTCTTCCATCACAAGCTTGGCCATGGTACCGATGTTGAACTAACATAAAAAAACACACAATATTAATCTCTTGACCCTCTTGCTTTTTCTTTACGGCAATAATTCATAGTACCACAGATTGAGCGATTATCGTATGCAGAGCCGGCCTGTAACTGTATGATGCCTAAAGACATTAACAAAATGATGCTTTTTTACTACAATTATATCAAAGAACTTAGTTGAATTGATGTCTCAAAATTTTTAATAAAATTTGGCATCTAAAGCCCTTGCTTTACCAGCTTTAGCTCTGGCCCTGATGGTATGCATAATTCACTACATTTGCTAAACGTTTATAGCTTAATTAGTTGCGATATTGTATATGTATGATTATAAAAGCGAAAGTTTCCTGCACCGGACCCACCCCATAACACTTACTTCTTCCCTGAGAAGGGCATCGTTTCAGATTTACAATGAGAGTAAAGATGAGAGAAGAGTTGAGAGAAAAACTGACAAATCATAATAATTGAGCTCATGTGAAACCGTAGTATAGTAAGCAGATCTGATAGTAAGTAGTAGTTGAATCTAGTCCCACCCCATAACTCCGTAATCAAATTCTAAAGTTAATAAGTTCAGTATAGTACATAGATTTTAATAGTAACACCTACAAACATTAAGCTCATTCATAATTTGATAACGATCGAAATCCTGTTTAAAAGTGTTTTAAAAAAGGCTTGTTAATTTAAACCACAATTTGTCACAACATTCTCAAACGTCACCACATTTCTCTAATTTGTTCTGATGTGTGGTTATGTATTACATGCGTATTCAAGTGGTGGTTTGATTTTTTGTTTGCCATATATTATAATTAACTTAGCTAGTAGTTTAATGAATACATTAATCACATTACAATCCACTAGATTTTTAATTTTTCCAAAAAGCAAAATCTACAATTTGTGAATTTTGGGACCATTGAACTTTGACATCACTCAGTCGTATGCGACATGTTAATCGAATATCAGTAGTAAATGGTTTTGATCTCCTGCACCCTACAAAATCCAACTTTTGGTCATTTATTATCCACCCAATAGCTTTTATGTCATGAATCTTTTGATATTAATGTATACATTATGTTTTATATCATAACTCACCAAATATTTTGAAATGTCCAGTACTCTTGATTGTGTATATCATCATCTTTTTAAAAAAATCCTCAAAAATAAACGCATTTAAGTTCAATATACAATATACAATAATCGTATTATAATTTTTCTTTTGGATACAGATGAATTTTTCAATCCATGTTTTAACTACATTCAGACATTAAATTTCATATGTTATTATGAGGCACTATATAACCACTAAAATGCGAATGTAATGTATAACTTTTATCATCCACCCCAGTAACTATGATACATTGGAATTCAAATAGAAATATACGTTTTATGATTTTCCAGAAAGATACAATTATACAAAGATGAAACAACTACTATAAATGTTACAAATTGATCATTACGAGACGACAACAAAACAAGAAATACTTAGAAGTTTCAAGCTTCACTTTAATAATTATGTAAATTAAGGGCAGATGCATTGAGGCCAAATAGAAGTATGTTTAGTGTTTGTAAACTACCTTCACGTCCTCTTATTCTTGTTCCCAAACAGCAAAGAAAAGTAAAACAAGATCCTAAAGAAGAGCCCCCAAGCAAACGTAATCCACAAACAATCCCACTTACTCAACTGAGTAATACCTTGCTGCATAAGTAAGTCAGACCCTGTCCTCAAGCATGTGGTCTCCGTTATCTTCGTTCCTAGGGATTTACTCAGTGTATCGAGGAGCTTAACCTTCATCACATCACTCACTCCCGCCAAAAGCGTACCATCAAAGACCTGGCCTCCCTCAACAAAACAGCGAGACGGATCGTCAAATTCGTTGATTAAACCAGCCTCGTAGGGATACTTCAAGACCGAAATGTAATGAAACCATATCCAGTAGAACGGTATCCGATCCCTGTTGATGTAGAATCCACCGAGCAGTACACAGTAGGAAAGATAAGCTATAGTGATCATGTAACTTATCATGACATTCGGGACAAGACCGGAAATGAAAGAAACAACAGAGGATCCACACCAAAAGGACGCGTAGATGATGAGACAGTAATACAAGAAACTGTTTAACCCGCCGCTCAAACCAACGGTCCAGAACGTGGTCGCAGCAAATGCGATTGAGAGAGCGAGTAGCTGAGGCAGGGACACGAGGGAGTGAGATATAACGTACGAAGACGTTCTATAAGCGTTGTGCGTTGTCTCTCTCAAGAAAACGTAACGTTCTTGGATAAAGACAGGGATGTTATCTGCACAAACGTAGAACATTGTGGACATACCAAACGCAAAGAAACCCATTCTCTCTTGTGCACCTCTAGGAGTGTTGTCAAGCCTCCAATATATAGTAGCTAAGAGAAGACCAGTCACCATTACAGTAGCGATCCTTGTTCCTATGAGCTCAGGCGTGCGGATCCAGTTCTTTACGTAACGTTTGGCTAAGATAAACGTCTCGATCAATGGCGGGTTTGCGTATGAAGATACTGATAATTCCATGGGAATGAGATTGGTTCCAGAAGATGAGCCAGAGACAAGTTTGCCTCTAGAGACACTTGCATTGATGGATTCTTTTAGAGATAAAGCTTGGTAAGGTGTGGTTTGTGGAGTGGCTCGAGCAGGTTGGTTATGTTGCCACTTTTCGTTGAACTCTACTAACTCTCTGGTTCCTTGAGAGGTTCCTTCGAGTTGTCTAATTAAATCAAGTGCGAACTCTGTAGTGTTCTCCTTCTCCGGTATCGGAAAACCGAAATCGGAGAAGAAAGAAGGAAGCTTAGCTGGAGATCCATTGAACACACTTTTGCCGCGAGATAAGATGATGAGACGATCAAGCAAATCGACGATTCGAGAACTAGGCTGATGAATCGACATAATTACGATACTGCCACTCTTAGCGATTCGTTTAAGAACCTGAACCACCATAAACGCGTTTGTTGAATCCAGCCCCGAGGTAGGCTCGTCGAGGAACAAGAGGATCGGGTCGTGGATGATGTCGATTCCGATTGAGACTCGCCGTCGTTCTCCGCCGGAGACTCCACGGTGTCCTTCGTCTCCGATTATAGTGTTCTCCGCGTTTCTGAGCCCCAATTGGTCGATTAGGGCTTGAACTCGCTCCATCTTCTTCGATTTCGGCAAGCTTCTTGGTAATCGAAACTCGGAGGCGAACATTAGGGTTTCTTTGACGGTGAGCATCGGAAAAAGGAGATCGTCTTGCATCACATACGCCGATATCACTTTTAGCAATCGAGATTTGAGAATCTTCTCTCCGTTTAGAGTTACAGAGCCTCTCAGGCTATTTAATCGTCCCGCTAATGCGTCGATCAATGTTGATTTACCGGCTCCGCTTGCGCCGAGAACGGCGAGGATATCGCCGTTGCAAGCCTCGCCGGAAACATCGTCGAGTAGAGTTTTCGCCGGAGTGGGTTCTCGCCGAGACAGCAGCGATGAGAAATTAAATCGCCGGCGAAGTTCGACACTGTAACTGAGATTTTCGAAGGCCAAGAGAAACGGCACAGGTGGTGCATCAGGGGAAGGGAGATCCAGTATGTGATGAGTCGAAGCATCTCTGCCGGAATCTTTGTTCTTCCGGTCACTGTGTTCGAAGTTTTTCAGCAGTTCGCCGAGGGTCGGTGACTCGTTGCTGCCGTGGAGAGAGATTTCTTGGGATTCTGCCGAAACACGTGGCATTTCTTTCAGAGGTAAGATTGGTCACACGGAGAAGTTAACTGTGTATTCTTGGAGATGAAGCAAACAGTGAAGTATCGTCGTTGTACATGTGTACACCCTGAGAAAACCATAAATATTTTAGGGATCATGAAGAAATGAAAATATATTACGAAATCTGAGTATTCCAGTGTTCCTAAAACTCTATGTATATTTACAGATAAAAAAAACTTTCTTAAACTCATGATATGGTTAACTTACTTGTTAAAATTTCCGGGAGCCAAAAAAGTATCTGTGATTCAGATTTTGTTTTTTTTTTTTATATGAGCACAACCCTCCTCTCTCCCATTTTTCTATTTATAAGCAAAAGAAAACTCATTTACCATCGTACTTCAAATTTAAAAATTAAAATAAATAGGAGAAAGAAGAAAGGAGAGATACGTCTCTTTAAACAGTAAGAAACTCTACCAAAAATCAAGGAAAACAATGAGAAAATTAAATTTACATGATAACAGAAATAGAAAGAATCAAAAAGGGAGTTAACTGATTTTGTCAAATAAAGAAAGTTTTGTTTTTAAACTGCTTTTGTTCATCTTCTTTCTCAAATGATACTACATGTAGATCAGAGATGAAAAAGTTGAAGAAAAGTACAAGTAGAAACTTGTGAAATATAACAGTCATGTGAAGCTCTAATAGGAACAAGGGATATAAAAGTAACCAAAAAAAAGAAGTTTTTATAGCAACACGGAGAATAAGTGTTTGATTGGTAATTTTTCGAAATGGCGGAATTGCGAAAAAAATCTTGCGGAATAGATTAAGTGACTTATATTTTTGTTAAGCAAAAACGCAGTTTGCGTTTTTGTGTGTATTTTTTCATTACGCGGATTTTTGTTGATTGGTAAAAAACCTGCAGAATTGTGTTTAAAAACGCAATTCCGCCCATTCTGCAGGTTACCGATCAGAGCTTAAGTGCAAGAAGAAAGATTGGTGAATGCTGGCTAACTTAGATAAGTGGAATGATGGAATAAAAGAAAAAAAATTAGTGGGATGCACTTTTATATTTTAACATTAAAATAAAATATTTTAATTAAATTTAATTAAATTATTTAAAATTTTTAAAAATAGTAGGGGCACATGATCCCGTTTGACGTAAGCTACATCCGCCCCTGTTAGTAACTACAAAATCATTAGTTGAAACTTTTGGATCTGGATGTAGTAGAATTACAGTAAGAACAGATATCACGGTAATATCCCTTATTTCCACCATGGTTTTGCGTTATATAAAACTTTCTGAGTATAGGAAATGTCTAGAAACAAAATCATACGTGAGAACAAAAGTAAAACAAAAATTTCATATAAATTTATATAAAAATAGACGAAACGAACTCCATTTTGGTTATGTGGCGACTCATCACTCATCGATCAGCACAATAAATTGAAAGATATTAGCCAAAAGGATTTAAGTATATTTAAGTCATATAATCTTTATTCTTAGCTTGTTAAACAATGGTGAAGTCTACGAGCTATTTTCATATTTTGATAAAGTTCTATAACGAACGTACGTACTTAGTTAATCAAGGGAGGTTAGATATCAAATTATGTATTTAGGTTTACTTCTGTATATCAAAAGGGAAACTAAGAAAATCAAAACAATTATTTGTATGGATCATGGGGCCATGAAGTTAGATTGTGTACTGGTTAGGCTAATAATTAATTTGTGTGTTTAGCTATTTTGTTTGTTTTTAACATGGGTTTTAGGTTTGTCTCTCAACTTTTAGAAGGAGACATAATAAATGAAGAGCTATAACTGCTGTGACTTGTGAAGCATATGTGATTGGGCCACGACTTTCGTAGCTAACGTTTTGTGGCTCGCAGGACTCTACCATCAAAATCACATAACACCACTTCTTCGGGTATGGAATGACTGGTGCACCTTGTGAAATAATAAATGGGGAAAATATATACTAGCTGGAAAGATGAATGAAGTGGGTTTGAGGTTAGTAATGACTAATGAATATTCCGGGCCTTCAAAGATTATGCCTAGTTTAACTTCGTTAGTTTCATTCCTCTTTAACTTTATAAAAAAATTCAATGGAGAGATGTTTTGTTTTTTTAAACGAGTTAATTTCTTTGAAACCGATAAAAATTCGTAAGCTATTACATTTGAGAGAGTTTGATATCACACCTTGACCAACAAAATAACTCTTTATTTAAGTGAAATCACTAGCACAGTACCACTTGATTTCATCACTTGGTTTCAACTAAGAGATCAATATCTCATTAGAAAGTTTTCTGATTTTTTTTTTACATAATTCCTTGATTAATTTTAACAAAGAAAATAGATGAAAATAAAAAGGTAAATAAACGTTACAGGGAGAAAAAGTGGTAATTATGCCAAATTTAAAAAAGAAGAAAGAGAAACAAAACATTTCTTGACACTTTCCTATCATTCAGATGAATTTCCTACATATTCTCAATGGATAATAATTGACGAAATTTGTTCATAAAAATTACAAACATGCCAGTTCCTACAATTTTTAACAACAATTTTCGTAGGAAATCTGTCAACTTCTTGTAGTGTATGTATATAGAGTAAAAGAAAGTTATAGGAAAAAAACGTTATAGGAAGAAGTTGAAAAACTTTATTCCAAGTCTAAGGTATAGAAGAAAAAAACAAAACATTTATTCTGGCCAACAGTGTACGAGAAGGAGAAGAAAAAAGTACATAATATATATATATATATATATATTATTTTTTTTTCTATTACTATCATATACTAGTAAATTTTGAATGGATCCCACAGGATTATTTTGCGTCTTGGTATTTTATCGCTCAAGAGGTACACCAGTCGACATCAAAATCGTGAAGCACGTGCTTGCTGTTTATTAGTGATAACGCTTGGTTGGGAGAAAATGCATTTTGGTTTTAGTATTTAAATATCTGACCTACCATATCCAATTTTACTTTTATCAACCAAGTTTTGCTTAGAGCGATGCCTGTAAACAATAAACTCGCGCGTGAGTAAATTTTTGTTTTGGAAATATGGTTAGAGAGTAACCACCAGAACTGATGGTACGACTCACGAAAACCAATTAAAATATAAAGCATTTGTATAAGATGACAACAGAAATGGTGATAAAAAAAAGAATATGACAATTAGTTTCTTTCTCCAAGGAAATAAAACGGTTTTAAAACATGTTTTGAACCATTTTATCTGTCATTTAAGTGTTGTACGATGCGTATATCAGTTTTCTTACCGTGTTAGTTTTCTATATGAACATTTAAGTGATCAAATCGAGATTTTAGACAATTTTACCCATGCCATTTAACGTTTTCTAGATATATAACTGTTTTTTTAGTAATCAACATGCAGTAAGACATGAGAAATATTGTTTATATATATGGAGTTTTCATTTTCCGTGAAGTTATAGAAATAGATCCTTTTTTGATGAAAGTTGATTATGTTTTTTTGGGATGCAAAGGTAATCCATTTTGTGAGTTTTTATGGATATAATGTCACTGACTTTTAAGGCTTAAGCATTTTTTTTTTTTGTCATCAGCCTCAATGCCTAGAACGGTTGGGTTAACCAAACCGATGGTATTAAGTGTATATACATAACATTTTAAGGGTAGATCCGAGCACTCTTTCTTTAAGGCTTAAGCATTATAATATTTTTATTGAAACGTTTTAAGATAACTACTACGTATTTTTGTTTTCCGTTCTCATATTTTTGTTATGTCGAGTTTGGTACGGTAAATTCAGTTTCTGGCAGAACCTTTTACAAAGAGTATCATAAAAGTCTTTCCTAATCCACAGAAAATACGTCGAAGACTTGATAAGTTTTAAAAAAAAATGTAAACCCTAAAATATTCACAAATATCAACTACAACTACAAGGTGTCATATTTTCTTTTTTTGTTAAACGGCCTAAAAAAATGTGTTAAGTCTTCAGAGCAGGTTTTAACAGCCTGTCTCTTTTAAAACCTACTACTAGTATAGCAACATACGATTCTAAGTCTGGTCGTTAGACCATGTACATTGAGAGTCCTTCACATTTTTTACTTGGGTTGCTAATGAATATTTTTGGTTAAAATAATAAAAAAAGAAGCTTAAAATATAAGGCTGACCCTTGCAGAAGGGTTTTAAGGGCTGATCCTTAGAAAATTGCTTATAAAAAAATATTATAATCATCTTAAGCAACTCTCAATAAAGCCCTCTAATGTACATGCTCTTACAAGGTTTCATAATAGTATTTATTCATTTCAAAAAGGAAATCATTTACACCTTGGAAAGCATTATTTTTGGATTTGTGATTGTTGGTTTTCTGTCTTGAGATCTCATAGTATGGGCTAAACACAAGACCTTGGGCTCTTGGTTTCATATTAAGCCCATGTTGTGTCAAAAGCCAAGAAGTGTTTTTTCCCTTTTATGTGATACGTGTGGTTGAGAGACAACCTTATCCAAAAACCTTATCTTCTTCAAAAACGAGACAGAGAAACAGGTTAGAGATTCAAGAGTGGGAAGTTCAATATCAGAGAAGAGTGAGAAAGAGAAGAGTTCTTGGAGATAGAGAAAAGGGTGGAGCCGCCAGGCTCCTTCCCTAAAGCTTTCTTCTTCTTGATTGGTTGTGTTTGGTTGTGGAGAGACAAGACCTGTCTTAGAAGAAACAACCAAACCGTAACTCTTGGTTAATGGTGCACCGGTGGAGAAGAAGCCATAAAGCTCTTCTTTAGTGAGCATCATTGGGTTTCTCGGGCGTTGAAGAAGCTTGTAGAGACTAGAACGTCTCTGTTGGAACACAGGCTGTATCTCTTTGGTGAGTGACACGAATCTGAGAAGGAAAGGAGTTGTAAGACTCATTTCGGTTCTGCTATGAAGCATTTCTCTCACAGCAACTCAAGAACAAGGAGAACCAGTTCTGAAGCAGCTTCAAAGGGAGTCTATGAAGCGGTTTGCTGAGGTAGTTCAGTAAGGTGTTATTAGTGACTAAGAACAGATCTGTTAGATTCTTAGTGACACTAAAAGCAAGTTCTTGAGTTGGTTAAATAGTGTGAACCACTTGTATAGCTCAGAGTTATGTCATGTAACTGAGCTTGAGAGTAAGAGAGAGATGTGTAATCATGTACATTGGTGATGAGATCATAGTGGATGCAGTTGAGGGACAGAGTTTCCCTCCCCTGAGATGTAGCCATTTTGGTGAACTCAGGGTGAACAAATGTTTGTGTCATTCTATTACTTGCTTATGTTGTTTGTTAAATCTGAGAATCACATGATCGGGACTGAGTTTAGGATGAAGAAAACTCAACAGTGATTTCATTTTTTTTTTAGGTCACTAACATGCATTGTATATTTGTATTATATGGTTTGAACATAAATCGTGATACACTAACAGCATTAGCAAAAGCCACTAGACTATAAGCTCTTGTCATTTGTAAACACACAAAATTTTGGAAAATAATTTTTTACATGGTTGGAACAATTTTTTTTTAAATGATTAATTAGTTTACAATAATTTACATAGTTGTTCAATAAATTTCGCAAGACTTTGATAAGATTGCGGTTTTCCGCGTCTCATAGCTTCTTCTTCTATTGATACTACAATGGCCCAAGAGATTCATGTAAGCCCAATCTAGCAATTGGCGAGCCGGTCTGCATGTCGATTCAAATTCAAATTTTCGATGTAGAAAAAAGTGAATCTATTTTTTGTTTTGAAACCATCATATACACTAAGATATGGTTCGATTTTGATCAAATATGTTGCTTCAATTCGGTCTGATTCGGTTTTCCGGATTGCACACCAATACAGTATTTCCTTTCTTTAAGGTAAACCATTGGCCAACCTGCGGGATCCATATGCCTAATCAAGACCAGATCTAAAACTTAAAACCTTGTTTAAATCATGCGTACGTAATCTCAAAACACATGTCTAGCTCATCACAACAATCCTATCATTTTTTCTTTTGGAAAATTAAAAAAAAAAGAAAAGAATACACGAAATGGATCTAGAATCAAGATCAACTATTGATGATAGCACACAATTCTTGATTTATTCGCTAATTAACTTTCATCCAATTCCATGAGATTCTTTGATTATTATTACGAATAGAAGTAAATTAAACATGCGATGGGAACTAAACCAAGGGATTAGGTCAACACAAAACAAAGAAAAATCTCCCAAACGATCAGTTCTCTTTGGCCAATTTATCCCCGAGAGAAACATCGGTAGCTTCCTCTTGATCAGTCCTTGTTGCCTCTTCTTCTTCTTCGACCTTGTTCTTCTTCATCAGCTGAGCTAATCTCTCAGCTAGACTCAGCCTAGTCCCAGGAGACACACCCTTCTTTCCAATGATCGATTCAAGAACTGCCTCTGCCAACAACTTATTCTCGATCACTGCTTTTCCGGTTTCAGGAATGCTATCGTCTTTCGAAAACGCAACCTGCCAACAACATTTTCAATTCACAACAAAGAGATGTCATAAAGTATTCAATGCTAAGACGTATTAATTAACTACGACGATTGTTTTTCCAATGTCATTTGCGTTTACTACAAGATAAGTTTGTAATAGCACAAGTAAGTACCGTGAGAGAGCCGTTATGGGAGAGAGCGAAGAGGATGGATGCACCAGGAAGGAAATTTTGGTCTTTGAAGACTTCCAAGAATCTCTCCACAGCTTTAGCCTCACAGTCTGTGTAAATCCCTAACGATTTCCAAATCGCCACACAATTCTCCGTTACTTTCTCCGAATATTGCTGTCCCGTTAACGGCAGTTTCATTGTCACTTTTATGAATTTCTCAAACGCACCTAAACACCAGTAAAGAAAATCATAAATCCCTTTTGACTTTAAGAAAAAAGAAAAAAACACTTAGCATGACGTGTCCCTTAAGTAAGTGGTGTAAGGAAGCACCTGTGACGATTTCACGGAAAAAAGGAACGGATTCCGTTAACTCCTCTGTAGTTTTGCCTTTCCACTTAACGGAGAGTGACGGGAGGGAAGCAGCGTCTAGGTAAACTCCGATGACGGTGAAAATCACGAATTTTCCATGGATATCTAACCCTCGCACCCCTGCGTAAGTTAGACAAAGTCAAAGAGTCAACAAAAACGGAGAACCAAAAAGAAAAAGGCTAAGAGCAGAGGAATTAAGCAGCGTTCGAACCTGCGCCACCGAGGAAGAGTGGATTGGAGGAAGCCGGTGAATTGACGGATGGTGGAAAAGTAACGGAATCGACTTGAAGTTTCGTGACGGAAGGTAACGGTGACGGACATGCGGAAGAAGACATGGCTTGAGTTTGGGGTTAGGTTTGATTGATAATAATGAATAAAGTTTTTGTTGTTTTGTTGGATGAGTAATTATAAGAGAAGGAGGAGGTAGGTAGCAAAAGCAAATAGCTTACGAGTGTTGGATGGGTAAGCACGTGGAGTTGCTTGGTTTTATACTTTTATATTTGATTGGAAGATTCAGTGGTGTTCTGGTAGTTGCGGAAACTCTGACGCCTTTTATTTCAAAAGGACTCTCGTAACAATATTTAATTTCTTTTCAGTTTAGGTTTTATCAGTTTAGTTAATAAAATAAAATTTATAATTAAGTTTATTCGGTTTGGTTTTGTTCAGTTTACTTTTTGGTTTTCACTACGTTGTTGTTTTTTTAGTAGTGTACATAGTAAAAGTATTTTTTAAATAAATAACCAATCCGATAATAAATACATTTCGATTCGAAGCTTGTCAATTCTAAATTTCTTATTCGATTTTGGTTTTCGATTATGCATCCATATGCATCCACCAGCGTTAGTAAGAACTTGATCTTGGTGTTTGTATTGTATTTGATTGCTTTTGTTGTACCTTTTTCTTCTCTATTATTCTCTCAATGTTATTGTTTGATTGATCTTTTGATTAATTGTTTGATTGATTGTTTAACACATCATTCAACAATTATTTAAACCCATTCTTGGTTTAGGACATTTTGGACTGCTTCTAGGTTTAGGAGTCAATATAAAGCATGGTAGATGCTTATTTACTATATATACTTTATTTTTTATATATGTGTAATTAATTTGTTTGAGTGTGTGACGGGCACGGGCTATTAAAACCCACGATGAATTCTCTTCGGGTTTGAGTTCCGGTTATCCCAAGATACTGGGCTATGGCCCAATGTCCTTAGGCCGTATAGTATAATCAAAATTAAACATAGTTAACCTAAAAAGTAAAATCCATATGAGTTGACAGAGTTGTCAATGAAAGATAAGATCTTAAAACCAAAAGTTCAGACAAACTATGGAAATCTTTTTTTTTTGGTGGTCGAATCTATGGGAATCTAAGACCTATAAAAAAGGCCATAGAATCTTGTGTATCATTTACTTTCTTGAGGTCTGAATCCTAACAATTTTATGTAGGGCAATCTGAATGTAATTAAAATTTGAAATATCATACCAGTTGTTTCTACTTTCTAGTGGATTAGGAGAAATATGCCAGTAGATTTATATGAGCGGTCATAAATATTCCTATCCCACCATCTTACACGTAATGAAAGCTCAAATGTAGTTGAGTTGAGTTTAATACATTCTTATATACTCTTCTCGTTCTATATTTTATATTTTTTTTCTTTCAAATAAGTCACTTTTTTCAACTTTCAGTATAAAATTAATTAGTTTATTTTATTGCTTTTGACCATTCATACTCTGGGAATTATTTTACCATTGATCAAATTATATGTTTAAGTAGATAATAAATGATGTTTTGGTATAGAAAAAAATCCTTTAATCTGTAAACAAAAACACTGAAACATCGCTTATAAAAACAGAGAGAATAATAATAACGTTAGTTCAATTATTGAAAACACAAAACTTGATGAAAAAAAAAAACACAAAACTCATACGTAAATTAGAAAATCAATACTATCCACTTAATTCTTTTTACTAATATAGAATATCCCCTGATTTTAATAATGAAAAAATAGTCCATTTAATCCTAGCTTTAGAAATCACTACATTTTCTAACAGCACCCACGTTTCTTCAATAATTTTTTCTAAAATAATCCATTTAAATCCTAGCTTTAAAAAATACTCCATTAAAGTTGATATGTGGAAATTTTGACCTCAAGTGGCACAAATTGAATTGCGCATTTCAATTCTTTAAATCAAAGTGGTTCGAAATTAAATGTGCTGAGATGTTAAAATTTATGTCGCTGAATTGTCATATTCAAAGTCTATTCTCTACCAAATCAAAAGAAATGACTTACGATATTAATGAATTTAATGAATACATTAGTTACACTATACATAATTCACACGATTTAAATGAATCAGATTTGCTAATAAAAGAAAGGACAATTTAAATCGGGTGAATTATGATGTGATTATAATAACTATGTGCTGAAGTGATTCATTACAAAAAATTCGCTGAATAACGTCATTCAGTTAACGTTATTTTGTAAACCGACTTTAACATATCGTTTGTTTGTTAACCGACTTTAACATTTTAGTGATCTAACGTCGATTGGATCTATTAAACAAAAGCCCATTAGCTAACATTTCAATTGGATCAAAACAAATGCCTTTCTTTTTATGTTTTTTCATTCCCAGTTCTTTCCGAGTTCGATTACGAAACGAAAATTGGGAATCCATCTCCACAGCTTCAAATCCTTTTTCATTCATCGATTTCAGCTTTAAATCCTTACAATTCTCATCGATTTTGTCTTTCAAATTGTTTGAAATCAATCTTCAAAAGGCACACATGCGGGCAGATCTAACACCGAGTTTCAGAAGCTCTCTTCTGTGATAGCTCGACAGTAAAGGTTCGTTCTGTAGAAATTTGCTGCGTTTGATGATGATGATCACATCGATTGATTCTAATAGTTTAATTTTTCTTGTCATCGTAGTTTCATACAAATCTGTGTTCGTGGGAAGGGATAAGCTACTCATCGGTGATCTTCAACCAGGTAGGTTTTGTATCTTTACTTGAATCAATCTGTCAATTGAATTTCGTTTTGATTAGATTGAGTTCTGATTAGATTGCCTTTTGATTAGATTATATTTTGATATCAGAAAAATTTGATGCTTCTCATTTGAATGTCATTCCTTGGACGTTTTAGCTAACTAGTCAGAGATAAACTCTTTTTTTTTTTTATGATGAACTATCGTAGTTTGAATCTGTAAGAACTGTAAGAGATTGGTGTGTTGAATTTTCATGATGAACTAACTCACTTTTCAAAGATAAACATTTTCAGTCCAAGAGCTATTTCATTACTTCTTTGCTTCACCTAAATTTGATGGTACTCATTTAAATCTCTTCTGATGCCATTCCTCGGACGTGTTAGCTCAATAATTGATCATTTGTTTTCCTTATTAGTAGACTGAATTTAGAATGGACAAGTCTTGGATATCTAAACATCGTTTATCTCAAGACTACATAAGTGGAGTCAAAGATTTTTTGGATTTTGCCTTTGGTAATATACCCATGAGGGGACTTTGTTGTTATGCGATTGCTTTTGGCACTTTTACATTGAGTTTCCATGATTCATTGATCTCTTGATTTTCCCACGATCTGATACTGTTGCAATCGTTATTTCAATAAGAAGCCTTTTGTTTTAACAAGGCATTGGTTTGGTCGGCTGATGGTGTTGTTTTATGAATATTACGAGTAGGTGCTTCATATGGACAGAAATGATTACTATGGTGGGGAAACAACATCGCTTAATCTCAATCAGGTTCTTCTATCTGATTTTCTGTAAATGCTTTGTAGTACAGTTCATCATCAATAACTTTTCTTTTGGTTTTTTTTTTTGCTGTTTCCAGCTTTGGAAGAATCTCAAGGGAGAAGAGAAGGCTCCTGAGCATTAACGTGCTAGCAGGGATTACAATGTGATGGACCAGTTTATGATGGGTAATGGAAAGCTTGTCCGTGTCCTTATCCACACTGATGTTAACTAAGTATTTGTCCTTTAAAGCTGTTGATGGAAGCTATGTTTTCGTTAAAGTAAAGGTACAAGCTTCTCATTGATGTATAGGTTTCACTGATTCCTTTGGAGGCCCTGAAACTGGTATGTTATTCATCCATAGCTTCTGGTTCCTTCTTGCAAGTTTGTTTGTTTCATTGATGATGTGAGGAGATTGTTTATAAATGCCTCAGCTAGGATTTGAATATGATTGTCTCAAGTTTGTTAGATTTGTTCCTTCTTGCAAGTTTATTTGTTTCATTCTCGATATGAGCAGATTGTCCCGATGCCTTAGTTAGGATTTGAATCTGATTCATTGTTGTCTTTTCAAATAAATATTGTTACAGTCTATTTGGTGATGTTATGTAATCGTTGCCTTATTTAATTTCAGGCTAATTAAAGCATCATCTGGAGAAGAAGTGTACAACAAAAATCATGAAGACAGTACAGATTATACAATACTGTATAACAAAATTGTATCTTTCATATTATAATTTTAGTGACATTGTATTTGGAGCTGATATATATTCTATGTAAAATCATATTCGTGTGATTAATTGGAATTTTTATTTGAGTGTATAATCTATTATATATATATATATATATAAATAAAAATAATTAGCATAAAATAATAAAAAATAACAAATACGTCGGTTGTAAAGCAAACCAAAACCGTTGCTAAAATTACTAAAAAACTGACGTTAATTGTTTGACGTTAAACATAACGTCGTTTGTTCAAGTGAAGTTAACAAATTTAACGTCGTTGATTGTTAAGACGGTTTAAAAACCGACGATAATGTAAACTTCAGTTTATAAGTGACGTTAAATAGAAATATAACCGACGTTATATGCCGTCTTTTTTGTAGTGATTGACGTTTAATTGTATATTCAAATAGTCATAATTTAAATATATTTTCTTTTACGATATTCAAGAAGAATACATAGGGATAAAACGTCAGACCAAAAAAAAAAAACATAGGGATAAAACGATTATAAATGTTACAACTTTTTTCTTTTGGAACTTTAAATCATGTATTGTTATTTGAGATAAAAAGATTATGCGTTGTGCGTTTGAAGATGTTCTACCTCTACGAACTTGGATATGATGTTAGAACATCTTATAAGATTAAAATCTTTAAGGAAAGATTATGCGTTGTCTAAATTTTATACAGAAAACACAAAGGTAAAACGATTATAAATGTTACAACTTGCTCACATTTTTTGTTTTGAATCATACTTTAAGATTTCTCTGTTTGCCACTCCTCAAATGAGGCATCATTTGACGACTTGATCATAGAATTACAACAAAACGATGGAGAAGTTACTATTTATAAAGTTTCAAGCTTCACATAACTATGTAACTAACTTACAGATTTTGTTTTTTTGTGGGGACTAGTACCTTCACGTCCTCTTATTTTTGCTCCCAAACAGCAAGGCAATGTAAAACAAGATCCTAAAAAAGAGGCCACAAGCTAACGTAATCCACAAGCAATCCCACTTACTCAATTGAGTAATACCTTGCTGGGAAAGTAAGTCAGACCCAGTCGTCAAGCATGTTGACTCCGTTATCCTCGTCCTCAGAGATCTACCCAGAGTTTCAAGGAGCTTAACCTTTCCCGAATCAGACACTCCTCCGATAAGAGTACCGTCAAATACTTGAACTCCTTTAACAAAGCAACGAGACGAGTCATCAAACTCGTTGATTAACACAGCTTCGTAGGGATACTTGAGCACTGAAATGTAATGAAACCACATCCAGTAACTCGGTATACGATCTCGGTTGACGTAAAATCCACTCAAGAGTAAACAGTAGGCGAGATAAGAAATGGCGACCATGTAACATAACATGATATTCGGAAGAACACCAGATATGAAGGTAACGACAGAGGATCCAGACCAAAACGAAGCAAAGATTATGAGGCAATAGAAGAAGAAACCTTGTAGCCCACCGCTCAAATCAACGGTCCAGAATGTAATTGAGGCAAATACAATGGACGGAGCAATTAGCTGAGGCAGGGACATGAGAGAATGGGATATGACGTATGACGATGTTCTGTAGGCGTTGTGCATTGTCTCTCTCAAGAAAATGTATCGTTCTTGGATAAAAACGGGGACATTGTCTAAACAACAGTAGAACATTGTGGGCGTGACGAATGCGAAGAAGGTCAATCTCTCGTGTGCACCTCTCGGAGTGTTATCTAGCTTCCAATAGACAGTGGCTAAGAGAAAACCGGTCACCATAACTGTAGCTATCCGTGTCCCTACGAGTTCAGGCGTCCGGATCCAGTTTTTCATGTAACGTTTGGCTAAGATGAATGTTTCAAACAACGATGGGTTTGCGTATGAAGATACTGTTTCCATGGACATGAGGTTGGATTTGGATGAGCCTGAGACTAGTTTCCCTCTAGAAACACTTGCATCGATGGCTTCTTTCAAGGATAAGCCTTGGTGAGATGCAGTTTGTGTCGTGGCTCGAGCAAGTAGTTGCTTTTTCTGCCACTTTTCGTTGAATTCTACTAGCTGACTGGTTCCTTCGTTGGATTTTTCAAGCTCTCTAATGAGATCAAGTGCGAACTCTGTGATGTTCTCTCTCTCCGGGATGGGACGACCGAAATCGGAGAAGAAAGAAGGAAGACTAGCAGGACATCCATTGAAAACACTCTTGCCACGAGATAAGATGATGAGACGATCAAGAAAATCAAGAATTCGAGCACTAGGTTGATGAATCGACATCATTACGATGCTACCACTTTGAGCTATTCGTTTAAGAACTTGCACCACCATAAATGCGTTTGTGGAATCCAACCCCGACGTAGGCTCGTCGAGGAACAAGACGATAGGATCGTGGATAATGTCGATTCCGATGGAGACGCGTCGTCGCTCTCCGCCGGAGACTCCACGGTGTCCTTCGTCTCCGATTAATGTATCCGCCGCATTTCTGAGCCCTAGCTGGTCGATTAGGGCTTGAACACGCTCCATTTTCTTCGAATTGGACAAGCTTCTTGGAAGACGAAACTCGGAAGCGAACATTAGGGTTTCTTTAACGGTGAGCATCGGAAAAAGAAGATCGTCTTGCATCATGTACGCTGATATCACTTTCAACAATCGAGACTGCAAAACATTCTCTCCGTTTAGGGTTACGGAGCCTCTCAGGCTTTCTTTTGCAACACGTCCAGCTAATGCATCGATTAACGTGGATTTTCCGGCTCCGCTTGCACCGAGAACGGCGAGGATATCTCCGTCGCATGCCTCGCCGGAAATATCATCGAGTAGTGTCTTCACCGTCGACGTGGAGCTTCGCCGGGAGAAACTGAACCGACGGTGAAGTGTAACGTTGTATTGGAGATTGTTAAAGGCTAAGACGAACGGCACACGTTGTACGTGTAAAGCTTCGACGTTTATTACGTGATGAGGAAGATGATCGTCGCTTCTGGTGACGACGGAGTTGGGGTCGTCTTTTCGAAAACTGTCGCAGTCTTTTAATAACTCGAAAAGAGTAGGTGATCCGTCGGGGAAGATATACTGTGTTTCCTCCTCCACAACACATGGCATTGCAACTTTTCTAGCACTCAGTGACAAATTCATCAAAACGGCGTCGTTTGTACGTTTAACGAATTAAACTGATTATGAAATATGAATCAGAAAGCTCGTCGAACTCTTTTTTTTTTTTAAATGGGATCTGTGTATGGTTGGGTTTTTTTTTTTTGGTTGAGAAATTTGTGTATTGTTTACGTTCAGTATTTATAAGTAAAATAAATGTTAGTGTTTTGACAGCTTAAGAAGAAAAGAGAAATATAATTTGTGTGAAGCATAAAGGAGCCACGAAGTTAGCAAGTTAATGTGCATGTGGGGTTTGTGAGATTCTGCTCAGTCTCAGTAAATCATTATTGATTTTGGTTTCGTTATAAATGAATCTGAGAACTCCCATACTGGGGAGTCAGTAGCGTGTTTATATTGTAGATTAAATATGTAAGGCTTGGAACAGTTTAGTGTGCTACTCCTTTTCCTTGAGATATTTGGAATTTGGCATAACCAACATGGGTCGCATTTATAGTTTACCTACCATCCATTTCAAATTGGGAAATCAACCATATTGTAACAATATGATTGTACTCAAAGCAAGTTTTTTAATATATGTAGAAGAACACGACTTTTGTTTGTTTGTGTGGTATAACCAGCAAGTCCCAAGCTTTTTGTCGGCAGGAGGACTTTACTTTTTACTTATTATTGAAAATAAGGCTGGAGGACTTTAACGGTTGGAATTGGTTCTAGTATAATAACCAATTCAAGATTACAGTTACTTTTTTTTGGCTTCAACCGAATTAATGGAATTTTTTCAATATATTTCTTCGAGAATCTAAAAATTTAAAGATTGAGCTTGAATCCACATGCACGAGCGTTTTTACAAGCCCTCAAATGTGATAGTAGAAGGAGCGTGAGGCGGAGGGGCCCCATATTTCAATTCCGATGAGTTCTGGATTTGAAGGGTCGAACCAAATTTTTGGCCACTCATTGGGTAGGGTCCGCTAAATTTTTGGCCAAATTCAACCATTGAATTTTCGTGCCTATCTTTTAATCATATTAAAATTTTAATCAGTATTTTAATTATTTATACTTAACTAAAAATAAAATAGGTTAATATTGAAGAACTAATTAAAAGGGTCGAACAATACGTTCCAATTTTTCTCTCCACAAGAAATAAGCCACAGCATGTAAAACGATTTTGCATCATATTACTATATTAGTATATTACATATATGAATATATGGTATATGGTGGGATCAGGAAGTTCTTAGTATAATTGGAACGTATTGTTCGTTACGTTGATGTATTTAAAAGTAAACTAAACTTGGTGGTGTAACTCTTTAAACAAAATCAGAATAGAAAATATAATTTCTGTGAAAGCATGATGGAACCATCAAATTTTATCAATCGAAAACCAGAAATATTATATTTATCTAAGATCCAGGAAATCGTGAATTACGTGCTAATTTAAATTCGTGATAAGAGTATGGAATTTGGCTTCCTCAACTCAAATATAGCATTTAAATTTGACGTACATTAGGGTCGGTCATGTAATAGGGCCGCTGGTCTCTCTCTTTAAGATGGATGAAAGCTTAGAACTTGTGTGTTCACAAAAAAAAAAACTACCAAAACAATACAATTATCAAATAAGAATTACGATTATTTAAGCCCTTTGAAACAAAAAGAATTACAATTATTTCCAATTAAAGCTAACTTGCGCCTCACTATAAAAATAATTTTAACAACATCATTATAAATACATTATCTTTCTTTTTCCTTAGCGTTGGAGAAATCTTCTAAAAGTTTTATAATGACATATATATGTGACATGCCTGCATGTGGGAACAGCACCTAGTACGTACCCAATTTTGCACTTGGCCCACTTGGCTCAGCTTGGGTGCTTGACATGTAGTGGGGTTTTGCGAGAATCTCATTTACCAAGGGGTTTGCTCACCTCATGATTAGTCGGTGGTTTCGACGAAACCCCAATACTCTTGTTAACTTTTCAAAGAAATGTTTTAATCAGTAAAAGAAAAAAAAAGCCTTCCGAGATAGGATTGTGTATAAACTCACAAGACTCCTCTTTCCTAGTGACCTAAGTGATCCAACGGGAGTGATAATACACTGCGGTTCCTCCAAAATACGTGATATCGCAATCTTTGGATCGCCAAGTTATCAAATGGTAATACGGCCTCGTTCTCATTTTTGAGGAATGTAATATGGTATTTTGAGAAATCAGAAAGGAATCCTAGTAATGTCTTTTTTTTTTTTTTCTGATAGGACTAAATTGCTCGCTACGTTGGGAATTTTACAAGTAAAAACTATAATTGGTGTTGTAAACTCCTATAAAAAAATGAAAATGACAAAGAAAAGAAATGTATTTCGTGTGTGAAAAGCAGGAAGTACTAATTAAGGAGACACGAATTGTCAGTAGCTTAATGTGTGTGTACTACGTAAGGACTAGACAATCAGCATCATCATCTTACAGGCGATATTTTCATGCAGTTTCATTTTCGACATAAATGTAATCAGGAGAATACATAATCGTGTATTTCGTGTTATTGAATTCGTGATACATGCTAGGAAGAAATGCAATTTGGCTTCTTCTTCTACTCAACTCGCATAATTTAATATTATTATCTACTATTCTAAGGTATGACATATACCGAATTTTGTTTAAAGCCATTTTTTCGTTCATAATCGCGCTTTCAAATGGCCGGAAATTTTAGGCCTTATCAACTACATCATCGGTTTCAAAATTTCATTATTCGTGTAGTTATATGTTGTTTTCACTTTCACACATGTTAAAATTATTGTAATCTTATAAAAATATTATCAATACACTATATATCTTCATAAATAGTAATTTCATATAAAAATTATTAAAACACTATATTTATTCATACTAATATTAAGTTTTCTTTCAAACATACCTCCACTATTTCTTCAAAAAATACCACAAATTTAATATCAAAATGATTCAAAACCTCTTTTTAATGAGAAAAATCTAAAACCTATATTGGTAAAAAAAAACCCAAATATAATATTTTTTAATTTTGTTTGTAATTAATTCTGGATACACAAGAATTTTTACAATATAGTTTGTGGTGATATTGAGAAACAGTATATAATAATGATATGTTTGAAACAAAAACTTTAAAGTATGGTATTTTAGGGTATTCTTATTATTCTCATCAATAAGCTAATACAACAGGAATAATACTGAAACTTTATTCAAAATTTTGTATAGAAAATACAGTGGTAATTTTCGTAAAACAAAACTTTAATATTAATAGAACATTTTCTGAAACGGATGGAGAGCATATAACATTCTTGTTTATGATAAACATTTAGAAAGGAACCATGCTGTAACGATTTGACGTCGTTTGTTGGTAAACATGTATACCTAAGATTGATTAATCTATCTTGATAGAAGTGGTCTGTATAATCTTAGAACACAACCGGCAATATGTGTTCAACTTAACTTATTTCATAGCAAAAAAAAGAGTTTGTACAGCTTAACTATCATTTGATTTTAGAAACAATCAGTAAACTCCAATATAGCATCCGATATATCATACTTTAATGGTTTAACCTGCGGGAAAATTTACGACGTTCAGTTAATACTTTATCACTGTCTCTGGTGATACTGATACACACATTACACTGTATAATAATAAAAAAAACATTACACTGTACACAATTAGACTTTGACAAAGAAACAAAAAGACTTCAAAGTAAATTAGAATAAAATAATGGAATTAAGTATTAGCTACAAAATAATAACTTAAAAATTTACGGAAAAAAGGGAAGAAGCTAATAATAGATAATTTAATGTTCTTGTTTATTGCATATTTACATGCATAAACCGATTACACGATATGACCATTGCAAAACCATAAAAATTTATTCAAGTATATATCAAAATGACAAAAGATGAACCCAACAAATGGGAGAATACATACATAATTCGACATCTATAAGAAGCAGGCAATCAAACAGTACAAAACCAAACATAATTGATTAATGTAATGAAATAAAAGTTCATATTCGCCAAATCAATGATTATAGATAAAAACTGATATATCAATCGGTCATACTTTAACTTGCGGAAAATTTTCAACTTTTGAGGACGAAAGAATATTGTCCATGTAAACATGAACCAAATACTGCTCAACCCGGTCCAAACCGGTTACCATGACCTCTAGTAAACCGAATCACCAATCCAGAGAATTTACTTTCGTGTTTGTGCCTTTCTCGCTTAATAGAGAAACTTGACGGAAAACAGAGGACACACGATACGACGTCGCATAACGGCGAACGATGACTACGCTACCATACGCCGAGGTCGATTGCAGCCTTAGGGCATTAGCCGGCCGTGCCGAAGGCTTCGGCCGATTTGCCGTCGGTGGTCTCCACGGCGATCTCTATGTTGTCACTTCTCTTGCAGGTGATGTATTCGTCTCTGCGAATCCATGTATAAAAATGGCTATGCCGATGCTTCACCGACGATCATACTGCAAATTTATAATTCACACGAAATCTATGGATAATTCGAGCTTGATTTTGCTTTTTGAATTGCTTTCTCCGTGCTAATTTTCCGTCTTGTTGCCATGATTGTGAGAACGTGTTTGTTTATTGATTTGAGACGCAGAATCTTTTTGTGAGCTGTTGTTTTTGGAGATCTATAGATGGTTTTATTCATGTGTGATTTTAGATGATGGACCTGGATCTATTCGCGAAGGAGGTAGGAGGAAAGAGCCATTATGGATTGTTTTCGCAGTTTCTGGAACCATAAATCTCAATTCATACTTGAGCGTATCGTCTTACAAGACGATCGATGGACGAGGACAGCGAATCAAGATCACGGGGAAAGGAATTAGACTCAAGGAATGCGAACATATTATCATTTGCAACTTGGAGTTTGAAGGTGGTAGAGGCCATGATGTTGATGGCATTCAGATCAAACCAAAGTCTAGACACATATGGATTGATCGATGTAGCCTGCGTGATTACGATGATGGACTTATCGATATTACCAGACAAAGCACGGATATCACTGTTTCTAGGTGAGGTGTAGATGTTTTTGGATGGTTCAAGCTAACGTTTATGTTATGCTCTTGTGTCTGTGGTGCTTAATTTCTGCTTCTTGTTTGCCTCTGCTTTTGCAGATGTTACTTTGCACAACATGACAAGACGATGCTGATTGGAGCAGATCCTTCTCATGTCGATGATAGATGCATCCGAGTTACCATTCACCATTGTTTCTTTGATGGAACTAGGCAAAGGCAACCTCGTCTTAGGTTTGGAAAAGTTCATTTGTACAACAATTACACAAGAAACTGGGGAATATATGCTGTCTGTGCTAGCGTAGAAGCGCAGGTAAACTCTGTAATGGAAAGAATTCCATAAAAATCTAAATGCAGATTGTAGATCATTGCTTGAGCCAGCAAACTTTAGTCTTTCCTACTCATCTGAGGTTAATAGTTATGATTCTAAAATCAGGTATTCTCTCAATGCAATATATATGAAGCAGGAGTAAAGAAAAAAACGTTTGAATACTATCCAGAGAAGGTTGATTATCTCTTTCACATGCTTTTTCTTCTCGCATCATAGAAGATCTTATATCTCATGTAAATCCACCATTGTCATCTTGTGTGAATTTATTTGTAGGCTGCTGACAAGGAAGAAGTGAGAGCTGGTTTAGTACGATCTGAAAATGACTTGTTCTTGAACGGAGCTCAGGCCACCTTGTTAACAGGGGCCGGTGAAGAAGAATGTGTGTTCCATCCAAGCGAACACTACCCGACATGGACTGTGGAGCCACCATCAGAAACTCTCAAGCAAATCATCAAAATTTGTACCGGTTGGCAATCTTTATCCCGTCCTTCAGATCATGGAGTTCCTAAGTAGTAGCTACGATCCGATTTTTTTCTTGCATATCGTATTTCCATATTCTGCTTAGTTGTTCAAGGAGTGAACAATGCTTTTGTTCGTCAGCACTTTATGTTTACAGTATGTCTGTGTGATTTTTAATGCATTTTTCTCTTTATGATAAGTAATTGTCTTCTCTGAGAAGATGAGAAACTCAATGTATTTTTTTTGAAGTAATCTAAAGAAAATCTCAATGTTATTTTTCGTTCTCGTTATCTGTTGTGCACACAATGCAAACACAAGTACCCGTTACATTTATGATACTTCACACCATGTAGAACGGAATATTTAGACAGAACTGTAACAGTGAAATGAGTCTCTCAGCCTGAAACACATCCAAGTGACATCCAGGATGAAGAAGACGAAGATGAAGAAAAAGAAGATGAGCTAAGTATTGGTGTTCCGTGGAACAGATCGGAGATGTAATTCTCCAAATTATCTGGCTTAAACCTCACGAGGATCTCGATGTTTTTCTCCTGGCCGAGCATCGGTAAGTACTTCCTGTAAAACTCTCTGTATTCTGGTACAAGTTTCTTTGCTATCGAAACCTTCAACTCGTCCCTAAGTTTCGCATCTGGTACAACTCGTGATGATTGTTTCATATATGCTTCCTCAAATGCCGTGTGAAACCTTCTGAAGTATATTTTGGCCTCCTCTGGTGACAGGTCAGTGGGTTCCTCTGGTAAAGACATGAAAACATTGGACCATGCTGCGATCTCATAATTCGCAGCGTAGGCGCTGAGTTTATCGTCGTGCTTAGAGAGCCAATCATCTCCAAGGAGATCCCTGAGTTGAGTTGAACGAACCGTTTCAACGATGACGTTAAGGTTGTTTGCAAGGAAGAGGTAAGACAGTGAAACATCCTTGTAATGCTCTGCTTTGGTGTCTAGTTTGCATAGCAAGACCAGGATGAGCCAAGCCAAATGGACCGAGAGTGCGTGATTGTGTTCTTCGTCTTCTGTGATTGGAGTTCTGACGTAAGATTCTAGCAAGCGGGTGTTTCTATGGAGCGGATGGTCTGCAATAACTTCAAACAAGACAGAGCTGTATTTAGACAGGGAAGAGATGAAACTCATTGTTGATCTGGTCAGCTTATGAACCCCTCCTCCAGGTGTAAGAGCTTTCGTCGAATCCTTCTGAATAGTTGATTCAAAATCCGTGAGAGCACTGTGGATTGAAACTTTGAGTTTTCTGAGCGATGTGAGCGCCTGAGATTTCACATCAGCTACTGAATCGAAGTGGAATATCATCTCTATGTCCTGCCAGAGATCAGAGATCGCAGCCTGGAGATCCATCAGCGAGAAGATCCTCTCGTGTGATTTCTTCTCCTTGGCAACAAATTCAGGGAACCTGAAAAGGTTAGTGGCTGCTTCGTTTGCTATCTCGTAAAAGCATGACTCTCTCGTTGAATTAGAAGCAGAAAAGACATGATCACAAAGAAGTTTCTCTCCACGGAAGAGCGTGGCAACACCAATCTTGGCAGCTTTGATCCAGTTCTTGATCATATGTTCGAGCGTGACCCAGTCCATTCTGTGAAATCTGGAGCCTTTGTAGATTTCGATCCCTAGCAAGCTTAACCCTTCGTCAACAATCGATTTTCTGATCCGCTTATAAATCTTGACGCACTCTTTACCATATCCGCAACTGATCATACTCTCTGCTATCGCCTTTAGGTCAGACATCACCACAGCTGAAGCTTTCTCAACCTGAGTGATGGATTCTCCAGCTTTCTTGATCTCATTGTCATCTTCATCGTCGTCATCAGATTGCATAATATCTTCAAACTCGGAATTGCTGGAGATTGAGGATTGACCGGAAACTGATTCGGGATCAAGCTTGTCTCTGTTTGAAGAAAGTATCTGGAAGAACTCTTTTTCGAGCCTCGTCATGGCGATCTCCATCAGGGTCTGCGCAAGAGCAAGCTTGGGAGATTGAGGGTCTTGAGAGACAAGAAAGTGCATCGCTCTGCGCAAGTCACGGACACATCTGATGAACTCTTTGGCCTCTTTTCTGCTGTGGTTGAAGAGAGAGACGATCTTGGTGAAGGAAGGCGTGTTCGGGTCCCATTTTCTGATGACGGATTCAGCTTTCTCCACGGCTTCCTCCATCGTAGACTGAGTGAAGTTCTGGTTCAGAGGAGAAGCTGGGAAAGAAGTGAATGAAGAAGGAGAAGAAGGAAGAGATTTTGGAGATGAGGAAGAGAAAAATGCAAATTTAGTCTTTTTGGCCATTGAAGAAGCTTTTTTAAGCTTTCTATTCCCTTCTTCCTCAATTGATGAAAATAGGAGGCGTTTAAATGGTGTTACTTGGCTTGTACTCTTTTATTTTATTTTATGAGGAAGATGATTTTTAACAATTATATAGAGAGTTTGGTCTTGAGTTTGAAATTGATGACGATGTGCTTACCTGGAAAATATAGACCCAGACCAAAAAGAACCATTGACTTGGGATGTATAAGCCTTCATTCTATACTATATACTTAAAATGAAATTACAGTATAGAATTTTTTTATACAACGCCAAAGTTTTGCTATACACGTTTAGCAGTTGTTGATTCGACTATTTCATCCTGTCAACTTATAATTCACGAATTGTATTTTTTTTTTCAACTGTTCAATTGTTGATTTGACTTTTTATTGCATCATTCGCAGTATTGTATTTTTGTGATGAAATCATTCGCAGTATTGATAACTAATTATCTTTCTCTTTATAAATAACGCGTGGCTGCATTTCATTTTTGCTTCTGTCAACATCTGCATTTCAGTTATTACGATAAATTATTGTTCTTGCGATGATAGACAGTTGTTAATATCATCGTTATTTTCGGTTATAGTGGTTTCGAAACGGCAATTGTCTTAACCGTGAATATAAGAGCTTTCTATATATAACCGTGTATAAGAGTTTTCTGTATTTAACGATGTATATAAGAGCTTTCTAATTCTAGGAAGGATTAAATTCAAATTACTAAATATAGCAAATGGTGACAAAGTCAATTATAATATCAAATAATTTAAAGTTCCAAGATTCACAGTTTGGCTATTAACTTTCACAGTCAAGTTGACATATTATATGTACTAACTAACAGCTATACGTATATTATAAATTTATAATGTTATATATATAATCCTCTTTTAATTTTGATAAATCAAAATAATGTTATAATCTTCAAGTGGCTTTTACATCATATGATATGAAGGTTGTTAGAACATCACAGTTTCATTAGAAACATCTAATCTTTAATATTTAACATAAGGAATAATCTTAGTCATCAAATGACCTTTAAATGTTGAAAACTGTAGTATTTTCGTACACATTGCCACTGAATTAATTTGTACGTTACTTTCAAATATATGACAACATTTTGGAATTCAGAAAAACTGTATGTTTACTGTTAACAAGTAGTTAAGTACGCTAATAAAACCATTTCACTCACGTAAGTCGTACTTGCATTCCGTATATGAAAACAAAACAAAAAATCACATAATTTGCATTCATTTCATCCAAATAATAATTGACTATTTAAATTTTAATTTGTGACAATATTTTAAAATTTTGTTGTTACTACTATCCTAACATTTTACTTTAAATATATAATAGGTGATGATTCTTCATTTTATGGTTTATATATATCAAAACTGAATAGAAGATATATGGATATGTCTTCTTTTATTTTTGACAGAAAGAGAATGTACTATATATATATTATTCTTATATAATAACTTAGTAACTGAATATGTTCACCAAAAAAAAAACTTAGTAACTGAATATGTTCTTAAAAACCATCTTTAAGACTTGCGCATCTTCGTTAATTAGAGTATTTCCTTTCGAACGAAACAAATGTAAGTCATCGTACGTATAAAACTATTAACCCTTTCGTTTGACCTAAAGAAGATCAAAGATACGTACCAATTAATAATTCTGTATTCCAACTTGACATATCATGTATTCTACATATCTATTATATGCAAAAATACAATTACAAACCACATTTATATATATGATATATATATATATGTACATATATATCGATGATTTTAAGAAAAAGTCAAATCTACGCACTCGACAGTTTGTGATAAGAAGATACACATATATACCGGAGTCACTGGCAAAAATGTCAGCCTTAAAGAACAAAATCGAGATTCGCTTACTAAAGTCAACTGAGTTTACATAATACATTCAAACCAATTTGGCTTCAACGATGTGTGGATGTTCGATGAGTTGGCGAAATCATTATAAGAGCATTATAAGCTATCTTACGTTTTGTCACGACTCATAAGTCATAACGACTAGATCTTCACGTATCCGGTTATAATAATGGTTCGACTACGAAGCAAAAATAAATTAGTTATTCTCGTTGTCTTTTCTAAAGTGGAACCTTAAATCAACAAAGCGATGACTATTGATTGATACCGTCAGTCGCTGATTACAAGTTCGCAATTTTTAAAAACTAATTTTCTTGTTTTGAATAAAATTAACGACAGTGTTTGGTTTGGTTCGGATTGGGATTGGGATTGGTTGTTGTTATATTGTTTCGCACGCAGTATTTTAAAGAGAGAAAGATGTTACAGGCTTGGAGAGTTCTAACGAAGCAGAGAAATGAATATTAATATCGAGGTGTGAAAACAATTTGGAGAGGGGATTATCAAACGGTCAACTCAAGCGTAGATCAGAGTAGGACTATGAGATAATACAAAAGTCCAACTTTCAAAACAAAATCCAAAAAATAAATTAAAAAAAATATTCCAAATGACTATTTTGACATATATAATTTATATAAACATAACTCGAACGTAGCTGGTTTTACAATGTGTAATTGTGTATAGAGCTGGTAAATTTTAGTTTGGCTTTAATTTTTAGAAATATAACATGGACATGATTAACACCAAATCTAATTTGATTGTCCCAATTTCACTTCAAGAGAAAAAATGACTTGAATTTTTTAGCCAGTTTCGGCGCGGTTATAATCTTTTATTGGAATTCTTTAAGTAAAATAAAACGAAAACACAAATGAAAAAAAAAATATTTTAGGTTTACTGTCCGGACTTTCCGGTTAAATAAAACCAAACTAGTTTCATCAGTCAGAAGGGGAAAAAAAGGAAAATATATGAGAGATAATACAATGATACGTTTGAAGAACAAAAACTTTTCATTCAAAGATAGTTCACATATATCAGAGAAGAGCTTTGACAACAACAAAAAAAAAACAGAGGGAGACAACAAAAAATGATATATTAAACTTTGATGGCATACTTTCTAATTGGAAAGTACATCTCTTTCTTCTTCTCTCGTTCTGTCTTCAGCGAAGACTATAATTCAACGCAAAGAATTTAAGTCATTAAGTATGGACCTAAAACAAAGCATAGTTCTATTGAAATGAGAAACTTAATAGAACAGAGAAACCCATAATATCAAATACCTGGTGCTTGGTTAGTCTTCTCCTGATAGCTCTAGTCTTCTTGGGACGGAGATCGAGTGGCAACAACTTCTTGTTTTTGTATGCCTCTCTTAGAGCAGATTTTTGTTTCTGTGAGATCACAGTCAACACCTGTGCGATCGACTTCCTCACCACTTTGCTGCATCGACCCAAAAGAGCCCATTCAGATTCATAATAACTATAGAACTGAAGCTTAGCAAGATGGATCAAAAGTCTAAGCCGAGATCGTTCTTGCTTGTTTAGAGATTCTAATAGATCACTAACAAATTTCTTATCCTTTTTGGCACACTTACGGGTATATGAGTGTGTCATATGATATGCACACTAATCACATGAATTTGCTAAATGCCTAATCTTGTAAAAAGAAGTATCCTGAACAATTCAACAGGAGTGCAATTCACAAGTAGCAAACCATAAGCCAAGCTAAACCAAAAGATTAGCATAGTTTACAATTTTCTCACTAGCTAGATCGTACTAAGAAAATGGGTTCTTGTGATTCCCAAACATCAAGCAGCTTGAAATATTGAAAACCAAGAATCCAAAATGCATCACTCAATAATGACAGCAACAAAAAAAAAAAAAAATTTCCTTATGAGAGACGTGAGAGAATATACATCTTAGAGAGCTTGTTAGGAGCACCGCCAGTGACCTTAGCGACGCGGAGGACAGCAAGTTCTGCCTTCAGATCTTTCAACTGAGCAGAAAGATCCGACTTCGATTTCTCCCTCAACTCATGAACCTTGATTCTCGCTGTTCGTAATCCATTTCACAAAACCCGACAGAGAGAGAAAAATATAGACTCATAAGAAAATGTAACAGGAACGAAAAGACGAAAATTTTCCAAATGTAAAGGTAGTATTGATTCAGAAGTAAGACTTACCCATGGCGTCTTCGAGCTCTCGAGTCTCTTGTGTGCTGAAAGATAGCAGAAGAACCCTAAATTGTTGAAGAGGAAGATGACCATTTTAGTTAACGGGTTTGAATTATTATGAGATTGATTAAATGGGCCTTACTAATACGAATGGCCCGTATGTTTAAACCATTCTATTATTATTCTCTTTAACTCAAAATATCACACATGTTTTGAAGAATCTTACAGATTGAATTTTTATACTGATTGATTCAATATCGACCTATTAATTTTCGTGTCTCTCAAATTTCAATATTTCGACTGAATGTATTTGAAGGTCAAATCATTTCTTCTTTTCTCTCGAAGAGCTTAAGTTAGTAAATTTAAGTGGAAATTTAGATTAAGTTAGTTGATTAAGTTGGGAAATCAAAAAAAAAAAACTTATCAATTCCCAAATACCAAAGGGAATGCGTAGGAGCTGACGTCATCCATAACTAAATTACCCGTAGACTTTAAGTGGCCTTTCCTTAAGCTCAATCTAAATTTCCTCTCATCCAACTCTTCTCTCCTTGAATAAACAAAAATTAAATCTCGTTCGCGTGATTCTCGTCTTCTATATAGTGAACCAAAATCCAGTTTTTTCTTCTTTCTTTTGAACACATAACGAACCACAACATCATGGTTATGTACAAAGAGGTTTGTAATTGTATCTCTCTCTCTTTTTTCCAATTATGAACTTTGCTTTTATGTTTGATTATTTATCATGCACGCTCTGTATATAAAACCAAGATTCTTTATGCAAATTATTATATTGCTTTTTAACAGAGATATAAAAATTGGGTTTTAATTTGTTTTGTTAGGATTATGTGGTGAACTCACGGGGAATGAAGCTATTCACGTGTTCATGGAAACCAGAGAAGCAGCAAGAACCAAAGGCTTTGATCTTCTTATGTCACGGCTACGGAATGGAATCAAGCATCACCATGAACAGTCCGTCTTTTTAAATTATGACTTAATCATCATCAATACATATTCTAGCAAAATTAATACATCATCTTAACTATTATATATTTGTCAAAAAATTATCATAACTAATTAATGACTTTTAATAAATATTATGATTAACTAGGCACTGCAATGAGGTTGGCTGAGGCGGGTTTTGCGATCTATGGAATGGACTATGAAGGCCACGGTAAATCCGCAGGATTAAATGGTTATATCAAAAACTTTGATGGTCTTGTTCATGACGTCTCTTCTCATTACTCTTCAGTTTGTGGTAATAAATCGTTTTCTCTCTTACTTAATTTCTCTGTTTAATTTTATTTTGCGCCTCTGATTAATTATGGCTACTAATTTATATGTTTTGGAAATGGTGAACTGTATAGAGAGAGAAGAGAATAAAGGAAAGATGAGGTTTCTAATGGGAGAATCCATGGGAGGAGCAGTCGTGTTACTATTAGCGAGAAAGAAGCCCTATTTTTGGGATGGTGCCGTTTTAGTCGCTCCCATGTGTAAGGTAAAATTTACTTTATTGTATAAGATAACATTATGCATACTTCATTATTTTAAAACAGATGAATCTCTCTATATGATAAGAACATAATTTGTTAAAAATTAGTTAAGATTATCAGATAAACTGTTTAACAGATATAGAAAATTAATCAACTAATGTAAAATATTTAGCGGAATCGTTGTTTAGTTAATTTTTCACTATGTTTGTATTATCTTTAACTAATCTTTATTTTGAAGAAAAATGATAAAATTATATGACATGGCATACGCTAATTAGCTGATTTGGTATAAAACAAATCCTTTCATCGTCTTGCTTTTTTCTTCTTCTTGATTTGGTTTAGTAATTACAGTAGATATGATATTATTGTGAATAGCTTACCAATTTCTCTATGACAATCAACTCCCTTCTTAAGAGTTTAGTTAACACAAAACCTAAACAGTTATTACGAACATTTTTAAAGCTGAATTATCAAAACGACTCTTTTTTTTTGTTGTGTACAGCTAGCAGAAGAGATAAAGCCACATCCAATGGTGATCTCATTTCTCACAAAGCTAACTCGGTTTATTCCAACTTGGAAGATAGTTCCTAGCAACGATATTATTGACGTCGCATTCAAAGAATCCCACGTAAGAAAACAGGTAATATATGTATATTGATTATCATCCTTTTTATTTTAATATAGTTTAGACGTTTCTTCTCTAAAAGAAAAAAAATGATTTTAAAGGTAAGGGAAAACGAGTATTGTTACAAAGGCCGGCCTCGCTTAAAAACCGCTCATCAACTCTTAATGGTTAGCTTGGATCTTGAGAAGAATCTTCATCAGGTTTTTTACTCATATTTTTCTTTTTATTTATAAACTATATAGTGCATATAAATCGCCTTGATATATCCAAAATTTGATTTTATTATCCAACTAAATTATTTGGGGATCAAAATAAAAGGTTGAATCTAAAACAGGTATCCATGCCATTTATTGTCCTTCACGGGGAAGATGATAAGGTTACAGACAAAGACGTAAGCAAGCTACTATACGAGGTTTCTTCGAGTTCAGACAAGACTTTCAAGTTATACCCCAAGATGTGGCATGGGCTTTTATACGGAGAATCTCCTGCGAATTTGGAGATTGTGTTTGGTGATATTATAACATGGTTAAACGAAAGAGCTTCTGTTATAAACCAAAGGTTAGAGAATGAGTTAAAGCATATGAATGATGGTTTTTCTATGCAGAAATAAGTGTTGTAACTGAATTAAACGCTAACTGAATTATAATGATTACTACATATACAGATATACTCTAAGAATGTTCTAACTTATGTACAACGTTATAGCCATGATGTTTGGCAAATAGTGCTCAATTAAAACAGTCTATTTAATTTAAAATCTACTTTTGGACTTGGAAAAATCAAAGGTTTTATGGTTGCATCGAACTCGACGAACTAATTCGTTTGCGAGCTAATCTATATTGATCCATTTATATTTTAATTTTCACCACAACTATATGCACTGAATGTTTTAACAAAATAGTCGATTATTGATATATTCTAAGATTCAGATAAAAGTTTCAGAAAATTTCCAATCCTTGCTTGAATAGTAAATTTTGACTTCTAAACATTATTACAACTCAAGATACAAGTTAAAATGCTGACCACAAGATCTTTTGTTGATTTGGCGTAATTTTGAAGCATTTAAGTTGAAAAGTAACTATACAAAAATCAAGATTCTGTATTTAAAACATAACTTCTCAAGAATAAGTCATTAAAAAACTTGCTCTTCCAATACCCAAGATGATTCGCACTATCTAGTCTGCGTGATCCAATACAAAGTCGTAGTATTTAAGATTTAAGAAGATCTCGTCAAAGACATATTATTTTTAAAAAACCTTTAATGAAAACATCGCATTAAGTTTTGCGTGCAGATCCAAAACAAAAACTCAAAAATCTATTTTATGCTATGACATTTCAATATCATCAATGAAGTACCCACCTAACAGGCTATACCACACTTGAAATGACCATACAGAACCCACGAAGTGTGACACCCCGATCCCGCTCTCCTTTTGAGAATCAGATGCAGACCGGCGATATCAATCATAACTCCTCTCAACCGTCCCTTCCAGTGAGCCCAACACCCTCTCTAGACATGTGGATCCAACGTCATCTCTCTAAGTCTGTTGGTCCAACGTCTCCCGTTGACTCACCATTGTCCGACAGTCAGAAATCGTTAGTCCGGAAAGCTTGTAAGATTTGTCTACTTTATTATCGGGATGTTACACGAAGGGTGGTCACGCAATCAGTATTATCGTGTGAAATTGTACATTAGGACATCATGCTAAATTTTGAAATGCAAAATTCATGCCATTGATTCAAAAATCCTGTTTAGAAAGAGTTATTAAATTATTTAGGACATCATCCTAAATATTCGGAAGCCTTCATAAAGTTTATGCATTTCCGGAAATTTAGGATATTTGCGTTTGGTGTATTTAGCATTCACCAACTTCAGATTGCATTTTATTTTAAAAATTGAAACAATGCTTTTTCTACTTGATCACTCACCACCGGTCCACCGGGCGTACAACTTTTGTCGACTAGGGTGAAATGAAAATGTCAGAACTCAGAAAACACTTTATGATTTCACAGAACACTTAACAATGGTAAAAGACTAAAAAGTCTAAGTAAGAAACAAGAATCTGGATAGAAAAAAAGTAACCAACCTTCTTCTTTGTTAGTCGACTTAATTGTCGTGCATCATTACTGTGAAGTTACAACTTCACTAATATGACGTTTTTTTTTTTTTTTTTTTGACGTCCACTAATATGACGTTTAAGAAAAGAAAAGAAAAAAACTTCTTCCGTCATTAGTGCTTACTTTTGGGTTATGAAAGTTGCTAAATTTAGGTCACCCCTAAAAAATTAGTAAAAGTTCTTGCGAGCGAAGAAAAAGGACAATACACTATTGTCTTATTCAACCCTTTTCAGCAAATTTCTTCTTCCACAAGATTCAACAACCTATCCATATATTCTGTTATGTTTTAATTGCTACTCTCTCATTACATTTTTAAGGGATCAATTATGGTTAGTTTTGTTCAATCTTCTCGCTTAGAAATATATTTATATGTGATTTGACTTTTGTCATTTACAGGCTCACATTGATGGGCAAGTCGGATATAGCGAGGTAAGTTTCATAAATAGATTACAAGATTCAGAATGTTTTTATTATCCATATAATGAACTAGTCGATGATTATGGTTTTCACTGGTTTAGGAATTCATCAAGAATTCACGGGGAATACAGCTCTTAACCTGCAAGTGGTTTCCAGTAAATCAAGAACCAAGAGCTCTCATCTTCTTTTGCCATGGCTATGCAATTGATTGCAGCACCACATTTAAAGGTATCGATCTATACATACAAATGCATGCATCCATTGAACTATGATGAACAAAGATAGGTGAATGTGAATTAAATTTACATGCAGAGGTTGCATCCAAGTTTGCAAAAGAAGGCTTTGGTGTGTATGGAATTGAGTATGAAGGGCACGGAAGATCAGGCGGCCTTTCTGTCTACATTGATAACTTCGATCTTCTCATCGATGATGTCTCTTCACATTTCTCCAAAATATCTGGTCCATTCTTGATCTCATGATTACATATTGACCCTGTTGATGTCATAACATAAGATATAAGTTTTCAACTCAATTTCTACGTTTACTTTGCATTTATATCGTATTTAAATGTTAACATATTTTCAGTTCCTACAATATATGTTTTGAAAATTATCTTCTCTTTGATTTAACGTTTGCACTTGCAATTGACAAAGGAACTTACATAAAATGTCTGTTCTACTAGATTGCGTGACCTAGATTTGGATTTTGTTTGTTGTGCACGGCAGAGATGGGAGAGAACGCAAAGAAGAAGAAGTTTTTGATGGGAGAGTCGATGGGAGGAGCCGTAGTTCTTCTCTTGCACCGCAAGAAACGTGAGTTTTGGGATGGAGGAATCCTTATAGCTCCAATGTGTAAGGTGAAGATCGAGATTCACATATATCATTACCAATTTATTTCATTTCTTATAAGAATCATAACATGTATAATGATTACAAATGTGATGAGAGACAGATTGCTGAAGAGATGAAACCACCAAAAATGGTTATATCTCTGATGAATTTGGTCACAAATCTGATCCCATCGTGGAAGTCGTTTCTTTCGGGACCTGATATCATCAATCTCGCTATTAAACTCCCTCAAAAGAGACAAGAGGTAATACTCTACTTTCCTCTTCTCTATACAATCCACCCTATTCACTTACCTTAATCAACAAAACAAAAAACAGATAAGAGAAAATCCAAATTGCTACATTGGGAGGCCTCGTATGAAGACGATGAGCGAGCTTTATAGAATCAGCCTAGATCTAGAGAATCGGTTGAACGAGGTAATTTGTAGAGTCAAAGTTATGTTGCAACTGCATGTTCCAAATGCTAATTTATATATACTTTTTTGTGTTTATAGCATTGAGATGTTAATGTAAAGCGTTTGATTTGGGGATATATGCTTGTGCGTAGGTGACAATGCCGTTCATAGTATTGCACGGAGAAGAAGATAAAGTGACGGATAAAGGAGCTAGCAAACTTCTTTACGAGGTGGCTTCGTCTAATGACAAGACTTTGAAGTTGTATCCAGAAATGTGGCATAGCCTTCTTTTCGGGGAGCCTTTGGAGAAATCAGAAATGGTGTTCAATGACATTGTCCAATGGATGGAGACTAGAATCACTACTCTTCATGTGAATGCTAATAACAAAAATGAAGCAACATCTCATATCTGATTTTCTCATATTCGGTTTAGACTATATATAACTAAGTTTTCTAGTTTGGCTTCAAGTGCAATATAATTGTTTGTTTTTCCCCCAATGTTTAATTAAAGATAAATTGGATGGTATAAGACATTGTATGGTTGTAACTGAGAGAGTAATACACTGGAATGGACAAATATCTAGATTTAAGATTTGAGTAATTGCAATATATGACAAAGAATAAATCAAAATTTACCGCCATATCTCATAGCTCAACCAAGGGAGTGATGTTCCACAGCTCAACTTAAACGGCAGAGATGTAATCATGGGCCCATTTTCCGGAACAGGCCCAAATATTTTGATCTAAGCCCATACAACAATATCAGGGAAATCTAAATACGGTCAAGGAATACAAAAAGACCATAAATAGAGGAGTAAGTAGAGGTTTAGTTAAAATCATATCCTCATCTCAACTAAAGCAATGATAAGAAAGCAACGACAACAACAACTCCATTCCATCATCGATCACATGATCTTCCAAGGTTCCTATATAAACAAACCAATTTAGGCCATAGAAAATAAATAACAAACACACACACACATAAAAACCAAAACCTACACAAAGAAGAGGAGCAATTAATGGCCAAAGCTCCTCCTAGCCTAACGATCTTGCTCTTCTTCTTGATAACCACAAATGTCCACTCCGCTAGACTTCTCGAAGAGGTCGAAACTCAGCCACAGTTAGTCCCACCCATACCAGAAGATGAAGGTGATAATCAACCAGCCGCAACAACAACACAACCTCCATTACCGATTCCACTACCAGCTGGACCAGCCACAGGCGGACACGAGCCAGTCTTGGAGTTCTTTATGCATGACGTGCTAGGCGGGTCACACCCTTCAGCACGTGTGGTCACTGGGATAGTAGCACAAACGGAAGTGAACGGAATACCATTCTCCAAATCCAACAACAACATTTTCCCAGTAGACAACGCAGTACCGCTTGTGAACGCAAACAACATCAACAACATAATCAACCCAAACACTGCTCCACTCCTCACAGGACTCAGTGGCTCTCAAGCTAACACAGTCATCCAAAACACTAACGGTAACTCCCAAGGATCTCTCTCCAACAACCTCCCTTTCGTTACCGCAGGTCAACTCCCTCCCGCAGCTGCGCTCCAGCAGCTCATGTTTGGCACCATAACCGTGGTCGATGATGAGCTCACTGAGGGTCATGAGCTAGGATCTGTTGTTATTGGCAGAGCACAGGGGTTTTATCTGGCTAGCTCTTTGGACGGAACTAGCCAGACTCTTTCATTGACCGTGTTGTTCCATGGAGAGCATGATCACCATGACACACTCGATGATGCTATCAGCTTCTTTGGGGTCCATAGAACCGCTTCTCACGCCTCGCAAATTGCTGTTGTTGGTGGAACCGGGAAGTTCGAGCATGCTAAAGGGTACGCTGTTGTGGAGACTCTGCACAACCAGGAAAACCAACATGTCACTGATGGTCGTGATACCATTCTCCATTTCAGCATTTATCTTACATACTACAAAGCTTGAAGCGTAATCATTGCGTCTTATCGACATCTTCTTATTTTATCTGTATGCTTGTTGTTTACTAGTTTCATGTGTGGCCTTTGTTGTGTTGTGCACGTTTGATGTATAAAAAAAGGGTTAAATGAGAATCTTTGCTTTTATAATCAAAAATTGTGTTTTTTTTTTTTTTTTGGCAAATTTTTATGTCTAACAAAACAAATTTAAAGGCTTAGCTTGTGGAAATTATATATGAGATTATATATCGTCCGACTCAAATCTCAAAAGTTTAGAGCTCAAGATAAGGGGACTATAGTCATGATATGAAATTACCTTGTTAATGAACTTTGGGGAATGAAAATTAATATGAGTTTTGTTCTCCATATTATTGTTTCTATCCCTTATATATTTTTATTTATACTTAATTAACGTAAAATTTATTATATATATATTTTCTTCATTTTAGCATTTATTTAATGAGATTAACCAACCGTCTAGACCAAAAATCATTGATAGACTGTTGACCGGTTTTAATCGATTTGTCTAAAATTTGAAACGTATAAGTGGTTTTGGCCAAGAACATAAATAAACAATTTATTTGGATATATACGCACATAATACGTTCATATAACTAAAACGCCACACGAACGATCGATGTATGAGCGTCCGTTTCCTATCGTCGTCATAATTATACAAAGGCAATGTGGACCACGTACGTATAACGTACCAAAAAGAGTGTCATCACTCCTCTTTTGCTGTCTTTCTTGTTGGACTGAAGCGAATATATAGAAGAAAAATGATATACATTTATAAACATGCATGCGTCAGGGAGAAATCGTTTTCATGATATTCATATATATAAGGTTCTTAAGATCTGACGAACATCACGATCAGTCGTCGGATTCTTTAGATGAATCCGAGATTATCTTCTGGATCATCTGGTTTGTCTCTTCCTCCGACATTTGCTCTTGTTTGCTTTGCCTCTCCTCATACGCCTTGAAGAATTCCTTGTTCTCTTTCTCCAGCTCCTTCCAAACTGTAATTTTCTAATCCAATTAATTATGATAACAAAAACGGAAACAGATTTCAAATTTAATTGTTACATGGACTCTATCTGAATAGATAAGTTTGAAGGACAATCAAGTATTTATTTTGGGGTATATAAAAGAGAGCTCTCATGTTAAAGGCAGTCTATTAGACTATTACTAATCGTTAAATTATGTATGAGCACTTCTATGGAAGATCACATATGTAGGTACGTATATATGATAAATTGCAAGATCATACATGATGGTTGGTCAAAAAAAATTATATAATGGTATAATTATGCGTTGATATGTCTATAAATATACATATATATTTACCGTTAGAGTACATAGGTATGACATATGTTTGTGTGAGAGAGAGAGAGAGAGAGAGAGAGAGAGAGAGAGAGAGAACCAGTAGAGGTGATGACAGGAGTGATATTTGCATGCTTAGAGAGAGCTTCCACACACTCCTCTTTGCTCATGTGGAAGATCAAACATTTCTCTATCATGTGCTGCACCTAAACATACATAAAAACATGATCCAAAGGTATTGAGGTATACATAAAAGAGAAACAGAATCACTCATCCAAACGAAGAAGTACATGGAGATCATATATAATGAATATTACCATGTGAATGTAAGACGCAGAAGACGAATCAGCCATTAGTAATGGAAGCCCTAAAAATCAACACCCAAACTCAAAAGAGGGGCTTCTCTAAAAGCCACTTGTGGAGATAAAGACACTCATATATAGAAGAAGATCACGCAAAAAAAAAAAAAAAAAAAGAATAAGGAGAGGACAAAAGACTGAACAGTTGAATGAAAGGTGATATGCATGCATGGGGCCAGAAGCCCCACGTGGGAGATGGATCATAATTGGCTGAGAAAGGATTAGAGGAGATTTGTAAAATCACTCTTTCTCTCTTCTCCCTTCGTTTTTTTCATTTCCATCCCACGCTTTATCCACGTGATCCATGGCCCCCCTCTCTCTCCTATATTTTGCAAAAAAACACTTAGTCATGTTTTCATTTCCATAATCTTCTAGAAATCTATACTTATTTGTTGACAATGATTAAGTTTATATAAGAAAAAAAATAATAATGTACATCACAGAGGTTGTATTTGCTGTAAAACCATGATTACATAAAAGGAGGAATCACAACAAATACAAATACGGAATTTTAGAGGAGTGATAAATAAATAAATAACAATATTAACCATATATTATTTATTGAAACAATATCAACCATATATGCTATCTATAATTTTTTAATATCAACCATAAAATTAATAACGGTTACAAATTGAAACAATTTTAACGTTTTGTTAGAGCATTTAGTTTGTTAGAAATGCTTCAACAAAAGCGTTACAACTTAAGATTATAGATATATGGTTAAAATTATTTTGTAACCGTATATCTATAATCTTACGTCTTATTGGTAGAACATTTCTAATAAGAATATCTACATCTTTAACGGAAATGTCTAAGAAAGTTTTCAACATTAAAATAATTAATAAATAAAAAATAGGAAAAATGTAAGAATTAATTTTTAAGCGAGAATTTTTGAGATATCCATAAAAACTTCTTATGTCCATTTATCTCTTTTTTATTAGTTTATTTTTTGTTTTAAAATAAAAATTTAATTTTAGAATTATTTAATATCAAAATATTAATATTTAGTTATTGAGATACAAGTGAGGTTCTCTACCCTTGGAGATGCTCAGCCTCTCCACTGGATTTAAAAAGAAAATGTTAAGTAAGATTCATTGTATAGCTACGATGACGTACGTACCGTCGTGGGGTTCGACTTTCAATTTGATAACTAATAGATAATAAGAAGAAAAATTGAAAAACAAATCGGATCAATATAATAGATAGTAAGAGCAGTTAAGATAACCTCACCGAATCCGATTGTTTTCGACACTTGATCAATTCTTAAAGCAAGCTTATATCGAATAAAAAGTCATCCAAGATACTCTTCCCGCACAACGGTATAGCTAGCAAAGATTGTGGAAGAACTATTGTTCAAATGGTTCGCCAATAACTAGCTCAACTCTTTTTTGTTCCCAAATTAGTTTCATCCTGGCTTTTGAATTATTACTATATTTTTTTGCCCTAAGAACCTCATTGCCATCAAAGCATATGTAATTAAGGCTTGTTATATCTTGGTAATATATTCACATCATATATAAAAATCCATTGGCGACTCCATGATTTTTAAGTCTACGCACTAAAATATGTTTTTGATGCCTACTATAAGTCTATAACTACTCAAAATGGTCGACTCTTCAATATTTTTTTCTTTTCTTTTTGGTATTGTGGTTAATATTTTTTAGGGAATCAACTAAAAGTATATATATAATCTTCAGTTAAGGCAAGATATGAACTTGTTTAAATATTAGATCGGATCATATATTTTCAATGCTATGCGATAATCCATAAACTAAAAAATTATGTCGTAGTTTGAATATCATAAAAGAACCAGCGAATTTTTACATGATATGTTACATATAAATGAGTGCGTACACACATGTATGACACACTAATTAATAACAGTTATGTTTGATCCTCCTAGGTCCTAACAATATGAACATACATTTTTTTTTTTTTTAAACAACTTCCATCTTTATTCCAACTTCCATAATATGAACATACATATTTGTATATTTTAAAAATAATTAAAGTGAAGATTTAGAGGTATATAAACAAAATTGAGATCGAGAAAAAACCTTAAATCATAAACGATTGTGCTTCATCTCAAAACTGATATCATTGATACAGATTAGCGGAATACTTCACATCTAATATCACCAAAAAAATTACATCTGACGTTAGATACAATTCATAATTAACCTCGAATACATATACATTCGGGTATATAGTTGTGTAGACCACCATGACATGTGTACGTCATGTGTAGTGTACGTTACGATGATGGAAGGCTAAATAGAAAAAAAAAATTAGAAAAAAAAAAATCAATGTGATCAATAGTTTTCTGGTTGGGTAAGGGGACGCGGGAGATTAAAATTTTTGATTCGAGACCAATGAGATGATGACACGTCACGTAACAATCTAGATTGAGATCAAATAATCGCAAATGGCAGAACCAGCTGAGTGACGTGGCGCATATGGACATGCAAGAGAGACAAAGAGAGAGAGAGAGAGAGAGAGAGAGAGAGAGAGAGAGAGAGAGAGAGAGAGAGAGAGAGAGAGAGAGAGAGAGAGAGAGAGAGGGAATCTACAAAGGTTACGTAAAGAAAATACAGACAAACACATTGGGGTGTTTTGTCGAAATCTAAGGTTTCAGAAGGATCCATCAAATTCAGACATTTAATTTAAGTATACATTCCTCATCATGTGGACCTCTCATTTTGAGTCCTGAAACAGCAACTATTCTTTCGAATCAAATTCAAAACCCTATTCATCACTTTCTTTCTTTCTCTCTCTCTCTCTCTCTCTCTCATTCCTTCTCATCAACAAGATTACAAACAAGACGCCTATTCTCTCTCGTCCACTTATTCATTTACCTATATACTTCCTTATCCGACTCAAACCATTATGATATCATTTTCATTTGAATCCGTATGAGTGAATCAATAGTTACGACTGTATTTCATTTAAGTGACGAATTTGAAAACGATTGGTGTGTTTAATTAAGAAAGCAATTTCTATATAGAATACATGCCTTTTTATGCTTCAAAAAATTATAGTGGTGTCAAATTAACAGACAAGTAGTATGTCCATTCTTAATAGAAGAAGAGTATCTAGAGTCTAGTTCGGTCCCAAAAGATTCAGCAATTAATTAGCTAGGAATAGCTTGAACCATGTCCAAAAATCATTAGTCTTGAACAAACAAAAAAAACTGAAAAAAGAAGAGAAACAAGAGAAAATGAACAAACACACAAATTTTGGTTTGATGGCTAGAGTAAAATCTAATTAGATATATGCAACTTTTTTCGATCCAAACCCGAAAAAAATATTTTAATCCTATTTTCTTTTTGGCTATCTTTTACTTAACGGGTACTTTTGATATATAATATCTTTTACTTAACGGGTACTTTTGATAAATTTTGAGCTTTTATGTTAGGCACTAAGTACGGACTTTCTATTTATCACGTTTCTACCAAATAATGAAAGTAAATCATAACCACTTTAACTTCTTTAATTTCTGTTGTTATGCTTGGCAATGGCATCTTTAAGGGGATAAAGTGGAATGAAACGATGTTTAAAAAAAAAGGCATCTTTAAGTCGTAGAAGTTTGAGTCTTATGAGTTCATATTTTCCCTTTTCCTATATCAGCTCTTAAAAATTGGCTTAAAATTGTTAAATGGTTATTCTCTTGCAACGTTATTGATGATTAATCCATTTGGATCACGATCACATGCATATTAATTTAGTCCAAATTGAGAAGCCATCAAGAATTATTGACTGCTCTATGCCCGTTTAATTTGGAATATCTATTCGTCGTTCGACTGTTCGAGAGTGTAACGTTGCAGTAGGGTTTCTGATTATTATACTATATAAGTGCATTAAAATAATATGAAATATCACTGGAGACGAGACAGCAGAAATAGACAACAGTTGCAAAAAGAGACAAAGGTGGTGCAGTATAGAGTCCATATTATTTGCCTTAACGCAATTTTCAAACCAAAAGCTCTCAAAAAGCAAACCCAAATTTGTCGCAAAGACAAGTGGAGATTCTATTGACCACACCCACCCATTTGATTTTTCTTCACTCTGAGCCAATTGCATTTTCAATTGTTTATTGCCTTGTTAAAGTGTACGATGTGATTGAATTTCATCATCCAATGAGAGCATGCCGTGTCAGCAAAACGGAATAAGTTTGTTGTAATTTTTCCTTTGAGCCAAAACAAGTGAAAGACGTATGATATCATATAGGGGCATATAGGAATTCAATTATTCTAGTTCTAACATATCTGACCTATTTGGTTGTACCAATTATATAACGAGTAGAAACGAAAGATTCGGTTCAATTAATTTGTAGCAACCGTTTAAATGATATATTTATTTATTTTTGTTTTTCGACGAAGGCATTTGTCATTAACTTGAATAAGAGTTTACATAGTCCTTATAAATGATATATTTATTATTCATATTTTTGTCAACGTAAGAAAAATGATATTTCAAAATACCAAAATTTAATCAATATATTATGAAAAGGCCTTTGTTTGGTTAAAATACCAAATTAAAAATAGGGAACAAGAATAATTTAGTATTCTTCTATACATGTTGAAAATAAACTGAAATAAAAATATTTTATAGTTTTCACACATATCTATATAACAAAAACAAATCGAAACCGTCGGCTCCACCAATATAGTGGATGCAACTTTACGTTCTGATTCGATCGTTGTACGCAGATTTAGGAAACTCTTATACTACTTTGATAGTTTGAAGATTTCGGTCTATAATTTCTAAATCCTCTGTCCAGTCAATCCATATCAAGATGACAACTGATTCCCTTGTTGCCACGAGATCGTAGAGACACTTAAAATAGAAATATTTTTATATCCAAACATATTTTTTTTTTTAAATTGAAGCTATTCTATTTTCCCCAAGATTAGCATTATTCAAATGGAAAAGATTTTAGACTGATTGAGAAATTTGCAACTTATCCATCAAACGCAGTTTAGCTTTCATATGACACAACTGGATTCAGGATTCTTTTCGTAGTCATAATTCAAAGTCAGGAAATCCAATCTTGGCTTCTGTCTGAAACAGTAGAATTCAGATTTTTTCCCAGGAGACTCTTACTTCGGAATATGACTTCAGATATTCAACAAAGGTGATAATGTAAAAGATTACCAAATCTCATGAAAGGTTATGTGTTTGAAAGTTTGCGATTTAGATGATAACCCATCCAATTTTTTTCACAATTTCTCCAACTTTCTTTTTTTTTCAAATTTCGATTAGACCAAACATCAATGAACTTTAGTCAGTTTGCTTTTTTTATGTTGAGCCGGAGTACACTTAAAGCCTTGATTCATATTAAACATACATGAAAATGGATAAATTTGGAAACAATACATTTATACATATGTAACTGTTATACATTTCTCTTCTTTTTTCATGTTTTCAGGCTGGCCCTAGTAGGGAACCTTCAAAGACGATTGTGGTCAGTCAGATCGACCCTGATGCAACAACAGTGCACAGCATCCGAGATCACTTTGGGCGATACGATAAGATCCTCAGCATTCATATCAGCTACTCAACAGTGATTGAATTTGAAACAGTAGAACATGCTACCAAAACTCTTGAGGCCACCGATAAGCGGTAAGATTCAAAAACATATCTCTTGAAAAAGTGAAAAATCTAAAATATTTTTTTTTTTAATCATAATGTTGTGTTTTAGCGTTGACAGAATGTGTCGAAATGTTTCCATCCATTATGCACCTGAAATTGAAGGTGATTTCGTTCCCATGAATTTTGGTTGTGCCACATCTACGTATACGAGAGTTTGTGTTTTCTTTCGGTAAAAGTGTTTCCTGTTGTTTTGTGTCTGACTATCTATTGTGCTAGTTCTTTTGCTAATGTTTTTGTCAATTTTTGCCAATGTTAGTAACTTTCAACCGGTTTAAGCATTTTGGAGTTGGAAAACTTGTAAAATCAAACAAGGGTGTGCTCCGCATTTTTTTTTTGTAATGATCCAAACTATCCTCATTTTTTTTTTCTTAAAACTTATAAAGTTTGAAGTTTTAGACATTTGACCTTTTAATCTAATATGATATCTAGAGACAAACACAATACCGCGTTTAAACAATCAGAATAAATTATTGCCAAATTAATTTCCGAAAAACCTTTATTTTTTACTGTTAAATATATATGACTAAACAACAACAAAAAAATAAACTAATTCATAGTCAATGTCATCATTGTTCATTACTCTACCACAAAACATCGACAAACATGTTTTTTCTTCATATATTTGAACGTTTGATTAGAGCTCTTAACTTTTTCAATGATGTGGCTGCTTAATAATTTAGAATACATATTCCTCCACCTCTTTTTTTTTAAAAAAATATTATATATATATATATATATATATAAGCAAATAAAAAATTAAATATGTGGTAACTACAACAGAATTTTTTTTGGAAATGAAAAATTTTCACCTCTTTCATCTCTATTATATATATATACTTGTATGTACATATAAAATTTAATATACATGGGGTGACTGAGTAATTTCTATACGTTATCAAGATGTGGGCCTTACCAATGATCATAGGCCTATAAAGAAGGCTAATATGAGTATTCGACTCAAAGAAACATTTTCTCTCTCTGTTCTTCTAGGCTTTTATTGGGCTTTATTTCAACATGTATGTTGTATCACTAAATTAATAAGCTTTTAATGTATTGTCTACATTTTGAAACTAATCTATTATATTAAAACAAAAATACATTTAGTACTTGCTTTCAAATACTTTTATTTTTTTTTAAGTGTTTAAAAATAATTTTAATAATTATTTATATTTAATTTCGAAAATTAGTTATTAATTTAAATATTTTTAGAGTTTCTTAAATATAGGTAATTTAGATTTGATTTGATTTGATTAAAAATAATAAATCAGATATTAATTTAGATTTGATTTAAAAATTCTAATTTAAATAATTTTTATACTATTAAACATTTTTATCAAAAATATCTAGAATTTTTGGAAAAAAAAATAATTCACATATGAAAAATAATGGTCATATTTGAAATATAAAATATTTATAATGATGTAAATGATATAATATTTATGTTGCTTATATAATATATTTACGATTATGATTTATTTACAAAATAAAAATAAAATAATAGGTAAAATTCAAATGTATAATTTAAATATTAAAAATATATTTTTTAAAATTCATAGAACTAAAAATATATATAAAAATCGGGTTAAAAATATTTTGGTAACTAAAATCACTAATTTTGAATTATACATGTATATCGAAACTATATTTTTCATACAAAATAAAAATATAAAAAATTAAAAATTATTGCATACACTCTATAATATGGTTTGAAAAACCAGTTGTACACTCCCTTCGTTGATTAAATTTTAGAAAACTATAATGCTAAATAATACTGTTAATACATCTCAAACTTTTAACAAATATTTATATTATACGGTAATATGAACGGAAAAGTTAGAATTATGTTTTTATAGTAGTTTATTTTGAATTAATATTAGCAGACGAGTTAAAATTATATTTTTATAATCATAATTAATTTAATACTATAAAAATATATCTAAACACAAAAATCAATATTTTCACTTATTAAAAAATATATTTATAAAAATAATTATATCTAAACTCAAAAACACAAATTATATTATAAAATTCGTTAAACAATAAAAAAATATTCTCGTACGGATGCATGGAGTTAGAATCTAGTTTGTACATTGAATTTCAAATACACATGTAAAGTCATTCTTTTTTTTTGTGAAAACGTAAAACGAAGTATAAATTTACATATTTAATTGTTTTTTTTTCTGTCATCTGATTGATTATATATTACAAATGGAGTAATATGGACTATTCTGTAATGGACTATTCTGTAACTGTAATGTACATTTTTATCTGCATATAAAGATCTACGATATATGATTATACTTGCACTATGCTCTACTTGCACTGAAAATCTTATGTAAAATTGCATCAATTAACTTATATTCTCCGAAAATAAAAATTTATATCTCATAATGTAAAATCATTATTGGATCGGAGGACGCCAACCAAGTTTAATTTGTTTTAAAAAAGATTATCCTCGATGATCACCTGATTTTTTTTTTCTTAGGCTAGTGAAGAACTTTAAATAAATAAATAAACCATTTAAAAAAGAAGAAAAAATTGATGAATTGAACTTCCAATGGAGAAGATAACGTATATAAAGATGAGGTATACGATTATCCATTGGAGCTTCAATAAAAAGCTTCAATTTACACAGCCATGGTGGTTGTCTCCCACATCTCCACTTCCTCCCACCAAATCTCCCCTTCCTTCTTCCATCTCCGTCTTCGAATCCCCGCCACGTCGTCTCCTGCTTCTTCATCTCGCCCCAAACGCGGCGGCGGCGGCGGCGGAGGAGGATTCGCCTTGTCAATCCGAGCATACATAGAGAAACCCAACTCAATCTCCAGCTTCGCCAACACAGTCATCGGTTCTCTCCCGGTTATCGGACTCCTCGCCAGGATTCTCAGCGATGAAGGCGGCGTCGGAAGAGATCTCGTCGATTTCGCCGAGTTTCGCAAACGAGTTGGGAATAAATGCTCCCCTTCTGATTCTAGGGCTTTCTACGAGTTCCAACAGCGAAGAGGCAAGGTGATTTCTCTTCCTTCGCTTTCGATTTTTCTCCAAATTCTTTTTATCATAGTTTGAGTTTGATCATATAAGTTTTTGGGATATTTACAGTTAATACATATGGTTTTCTAGGCATTTTAGTTCCCCCTCTGAATCTACACCAGTTAAAAGATAAAAGAATCCTTTTTTAGCATTTATGTTCATATAATTTACGATTGAGATGTTGTGTGGATAAGAGTTTTGTTGCCTTTTGTTTGGTGTTGATGTGTGATCAGTTTTTGTAAGTGGCTTTGTTTTGGTAGGCAGGAGAACCTTTGTATGTGCTTCTTTGCTGTTGGGTTGCTGCAGTAGGTGCAGGGCTTCTCAAATCTGAAGAGATCCTTGAAGGTGTTACGAGGGTTAGCATTTCAAATGATCTCGAGTTCGAAGAACAGAACTTCATTGCTTTGATGACTCAAGCTAGGCAGGTTGGTTTCTTAACTTCATTGCAAACATATAGTTCTCTGCTAAGAAATGAGTTTCAGTTGTCAAAAATTGGGTATATTTGGTCCATTACACATCTCCTTAGCTTCGATCTCAAAGAGTCTTTTGCTTCAGAAAGGTTGATGATTTCTTGGTAATTGCAGAGAAGGGCAAAGTTGAACGTTGCTGCGCCAACAATCCCGATGGAATTAAGAGTTGAAAAGGCTCTTGAAGGAATCTATGCTTGTTGCTTCAGGAGAGGAGTTATAGAAGAGGAAGATGAGAAGCTTCTTCAAGTGATGCTAACCGCGGTTTTCCCATCGGTTGACAAGTCTGAGATAGAGAGAATCATCAAAGCCAAGGCTACGAGAGTCGCGGAAGGAGGAGAAGAAGAGAATCTCATGGCTGAGAAACGGCTGCCTAAAGAAGCTATTCAAATGCAAAGGAAGGATCTTGAGTTCCTCCAACAACAAAACATAGAATCTTAACAAATGGACCAACATGTTTTCTCAGTTCGGATAAAAAGAAAATGCAATATTTTTAAGTGTATCCATGTTTGGTGTTACTTTAATCAAGAATTTAGCAGTCCGTAGTCTCTAGGAGATATGCATGATAACAAAGTACTTTGATGGCTGGACAGAGACAAATCCTAAGAAACTGTAGTATGTTCCAATGGGTACCATTTAGAGTTTTTAAAGTTTTTTGTAAACCTAAAGTTTGATTCATTATATGATCAAAATTCAAATTTCTAAACCAGAAAAATACTTTTGAGGAAATTTAAAAATGGTTTGGACCAAAAATTACTGATTTTTCTTCATTAAATTCGATTAATTTGTATACTTTTTTAGAATTATAAAAAATGATGACAGCAAAAGTGAAAACAGCAAAAAAAGATTTACTGAATAAGTGTGTTTGTAATTTTGTTTGAGAAAATGACGTTGTAGAAAAAAAAGTAGTAACCTTTAGAGTTAAGAACATGCTTCCACCGAACTAACCGAAACATTGTTGATGATGATGACTTCGTGTAATGGAATCGAAACAAGAATTTAAAAAAAAAAAGAAAAAAAAAAAAGACTAAAGTTCTACCTATTCATGTAAAATATACTCCTTGAATCGTTGACTCAAAACTCTTTCGAACAATGGCACCGAATCTTCTTCATGCGCTTTTGATATTCCTCTCATTATCTATCATCACTTCGTCTCTGTCATCTCCGCCTCCGGTGACTGTTCACCAAGACTATCCTCCTTATCTATGGCCCTTGCCGGCGGAATTTTCCTCCGGAGACGAAACCCTCTCGGTGGATCCCTCCCTCTCTCTAATCGTAGCTGGAAATGGCGGCGGATCGCCGATTGTTAAAGCCGCGTTTGAAAGGTATATGGGCATGATCTTCAAGCACTCTTTCGGTAGAGCTTCTTCTCTCTTGTCCAGGATTAGATTTCTGAGAATGGTTGAGTATGATATTACTTCTCTCAAGATCGTTGTTCACTCGGATTCTGAGGAGGTAAAAAGAAAAAAAAAAAACAAATCTTTGGCTCTCTGATGAATCGAAATTTTAAATTCTGTTTTGGAAGTGGCAAAATCAATTAGATTGGTTTGTTTTCTGTTTTATTTTCAGCTTCAATTCGGTGTGGATGAGAGTTATACATTGATGGTGTCGAAGAAGAAAGAGCAATCGATTGTTGGAGCAGCCACGATCGAGGTTTTGTTGCTGCTATTATATCTTCTTCATCTGAGGAATGTGTTCTGTGATCATCTTATCTACTTTTTTCTTGTGGTTTCAGGCTAATACAGTCTATGGTGCGCTTAGAGGATTGGAGGTGTGTAAGTATTTGAGTATAATGCTACATTTTGACTCTGTGATTACACACATTGGTTTCTTGTGGCTCGACGTGAAGTTTCTTGATAAGAATCAGCTAAATTTCAGATGATCTTCTTGGTTTATGGATCAAATATATTACAGTGTATACGTTTTATTTGCGGTTGAAAAACTTTCACTTTGCTTTAAATGAGTACTTTTTCTGAAAATCTTGCAGACATTTAGCCAATTGTGTGCTTTTGATTATCTAACCAAATCTGTGCAAATATATAACGCACCCTGGTTTATTCAAGATAAACCTAGATTCCAATACCGTGGCTTGCTGATAGGTAAGCCTCCATGCTCTCTCTTGTTTTCATTTCCATCGAACTGAAAGAGAAATGCAATCTTGAGCTCGTTTTTTTACTTGCTACTTATACCCTTTTTGCAGATACATCAAGGCATTATTTACCAATTGATGTTATTAAGCAAATAATTGAATCTATGTCCTTCGCTAAACTTGTAAGAAACTATACATTGTTATTTTTTCCGGGAATACACGTAGTTGAACTTCCTTTCAAGGTTTATTAGATATCTAATTTATTCCCTTCTTTTTCTTCCATGGGTGGTTATGTGAGGTAGAATGTCCTGCATTGGCACATTGTAGACGAGCAATCATTTCCTCTTGAAACACCTACATATCCTAATTTGTGGAAAGGAGCTTATTCGAGATGGGAACGTTATACAGTTGAGGATGCCTCTGAGATTGTCAGGTATAGAAGTTGCTTACTTATTTCAAGTCCTCCATGCATATTTTGATTGAGTGAGTGAATACATCAGCTATTCTTTCTATTTACTAGTATTCTTTGTTTTGTTTTTTCCTCTTTTGCGATCTCCACTGTGAAGGTTTGCCAAAATGAGAGGTACTTTCTTGGCTAATTGACATAATTGTTATGGCAAGCAACTCCTCAATAGTTTAAGCTGAGAATGCTTTTAAACGGATTTGTTACTGATTTCTATTATATATTTCTTGCAGGTATTAATGTCATGGCTGAAGTAGATGTCCCTGGTCATGCGGAATCATGGTACAAATAATATTTTTGATCCTGTTGCTCTCTCTTAATGTCACACTGTTATTAGTCATACACAGTTTTTTTATCTTCCAGCCGAGAGTGTAACATACTAACTTCTAAGATTTGGAAAAAGAAAAAAAATTGTGGATGTACTTTGTGTTACTATACTCCTAATGCTCTAGAATAAGCTATGATGTGTTGGTTTGAGACTTTGAGCTATCAATTATTATCATCTTTTAAACTATCCTTTTTGAGCGTATGGTTTGCTTTGGATGCAGGGGAACTGGATACCCTGATCTTTGGCCGTCTCTGTCTTGCCGAGAGCCTCTTGACGTTACTAAAAATTTTACATTCGATGTGATTTCGGGCATTTTGTCAGGTTTACTTCAACTAGTTAGCTTCTTTTCTAGTTTTCTAACTCAGGTAGTTTTAATCTTGTAAAGTTAAAAAGTTAAGCTTGAGATGCGGCAAAAAGGTATCAGGAAATCTGATGCATCTAACATCATATCTTGCCTTGCATCTTAGTTTGTGTAATATGTGCATCTATCTGTATGTCCTGTTTTGATTCTCATATTTCCTCTCGCATCTCGGTTTGTAACAGATATGAGAAAGATATTCCCATTTGAGTTTTTCCACTTGGGTGGTGATGAAGTTAATACAGGTTGGTTTTTTTTTTTTAACACCTAAAGTCTATGGTTTCATTTCATTTGGTTATTTGCTTTATAACACCTCAAGACTAGTGATGGTTGCATGTTTTGGCAGATTGCTGGAAAAATACAACTCACGTCAAGGAATGGTACAGTCATGTGTCTTCTTTTTATGCCCCTCTCGTCTCGTTAACCATTCATTGAAAGAGACTCTTAAGTTTATTATTATTATTACACTTTTTTTTAACAATTGGGAAAATACAAAACAGCATCAAGCATCATTTCACTTTATCATTTTGTTTGATGTGTTCATCGCTCTAATTGCAGGCTTCAGGATCGCAACTTCACCACTAAGGACGCATACAAATACTTTGTACTCCGAGCGCAACAGATAGCAATATCGAAAAATTGGACACCAGTCAACTGGTATAATCTCTGACAAACATAGCAATAAATTTATGTGTATAGCTTCTTATGATACATTTTATGTGTCAAGTTCTCCCGTTCTTCCAGCTTAAACTTACTGCAAAAGTTGAATCAAGCTTATAGGAATTTGTTAATGTAAAAAAGGTTTCTAATAATTCTGGCCTTAACAAGTTCTGTTTTGTATGGATTTGAAAACCAAAAGATTGACACGAATATTGTGGTGACTATGAATGATCCTAGGGAAGAGACTTTCAGTTCCTTTGGAAAAGATCTTGATCCCAAGACTGTTGTGCAAAACTGGTAAGATCATGCAATACCATAGAAAAACCAGAAGTCTTATCCTTTTTGTTGTATGATATCTGTTAAAAAAAAAGAAAAAAAAAAACTGAGATTGAAAATATTGTTGCATGCAGGCTAGTGTCTGATATATGTCAAAAGGCAGTAGCAAAAGGATTCAGATGCATATTCAGTAACCAAGGTTATTGGTACCTAGACCATCTAGATGTCCCGTGGGACGAGGTTTACAACACCGAGCCTCTAAATGGAATTGAAGATCCTTCTCTCCAAAAGCTTGTGATTGGAGGAGAAGTTTGCATGTGGGGTGAAACAGCTGATACATCCGTTGTACTTCAGACGATTTGGCCCCGAGCTGCTGCTGCTGCAGGTAAACTCTAAAAATGATCTTTAGCCATGAAAAGTTATAGGTCTCGTACTTATTCAAACACTTGAATGCTCATCTCTGCTTTGCTAATGAATGGTTGATGAAACAGAACGAATGTGGAGCACGAGAGAAGCTGTGTCAAAGGGAAACATAACGTTAAACGCATTGCCGCGTTTGCACTACTTCAGATGTCTACTGAATAACCGTGGCGTTCCAGCGGCTCCAGTCGATAACTGGTACGCACGAAGACCACCTTATGGACCTGGCTCTTGCTATGCTCAGTGATCCAAAATCATATATGTTCTCATTGTAATTTGAACTATATGTAATGTCACTTGTCTCAAAACTGTTTTTTTTTTTTATATATATAACCTGTCTTCATCTCGATTACTCAAATCAAAGTTGTGTTTTGTATTCTTGCAACGATAATCAATCATGAGAACATCTGAATTTGCGATCTAGATATATACAAGAGTGCTCTTACCACAAACACCAGAGTTTGGTTTACTTTAGAAAAGAGAGGCTGTTGATAACATCCGAAATTGAACTAGCAAAACAACATGGACCTATGGCCTGTAATGATGTTTAAACATAGCTACAACTTTGATTTGTATCGATATTTTTAAGTTTTGATTGTTTGAAGGCTAAATATTTACGTGTGCATTCGCATACTTGCATTTGAAAACATTGTGTTCTGGTTTTAGTTTTAGAAAATGAATAAAACATTGAATATTAATATATTTCCGTTCGAAACCAAACGTTTTATTTTATTATATAAACGTGGAATTAGGTCAAATACGAACTCAGTCAAGTCCCATATATAATTAGCTATTTATATATGTTTTTCGGTTAAATTATAATAGTACAACAAGCTATGTATATAGTTCAGGCCTCTTCTTGATATAGTATATAATTTTCGTAGAGACATCTATATAAGCAATGAGGAAAAGGAGAAGAGATATATATTGCATTGACGTCGACCTATAGGTTACAATTATTGACCAAAGAACATCATCTATAGCGACTGCGTCCTTCGATTCTCAAGAAAATCCAACATTATATTATATCACATTATATCTGGTTTTGACTAGTTCTACACCTATCTTGTCAAACAAACAATTTCATGAGGTTTTACTAACTCGCTTTAAAATAGTTTAAAGTCGTTGTTGTCTTCTTGATGATTGGAGATGATTGGAGAGAAACTACGTTCTAAGAACTTTAACCAAAACAAACTACATTCTAAAGTGAAGAGAAACTACGTTCTAAGAACTTTAACCAAACAAAACTACATTCTAAGAGAGTAAGTGAAGAGAAACTTAGAAGTTATAAACTTCAGGGTGATTCTAAAAAGATTTTTTTTGTTGGTCAGATTCCAAAAAGATTGGTAAATTTTGTTAAAAAAAATAAAATTAATTAATAGTTTTAATGTGTATATGCTAGTTTTGAAAACAGTCTATTAGTTTCAGTATAGGATTCATTTTCAGTTTCAATTTGTATGTTTCAAATAATACGTTTCAGATTTTTAATGTTTTTTTTTATAAAATACATGAATATATTTTTAGCGAAAATTAACAAAAAATCCAACATAAATTTAAATTTCAATTCATAGATTAATTTTCTTTCTTGATCTACGTACAAGTTAGATTATCAAAGCAAACACTAATAAGAGAGAAACTGCGTAAGAAATCGTTGATCATTTAAGGTAGTTAGTAAAATTGATGCCTAAAATATGTGATCATACGTTGACCACTGAGCATCTTATGGAAAGAAAATAATTTACTGCACACGATCCTGGTCAGCAGAAGAGTACTTTCAAAACTATTTTTTACTAATTTTGTTTACGTCTGCTTTTTACTAATTATTATGAAATTGTTATGCGGTATAAAAATATTAGTAGCGATAGAGACTCTTAGATATAAATAAGATTAACGTAAAATCGATTAGATGGAATTATAGAATTCATTTTTCCGAGTAAGCTTAGATTTTTTGTTGTTGTTGTTGTTGACAACAGCCAGTTTTTTATACAACACTACGTTCGAAAAATGTAACACCACAATAGCTTATCGTTCTAACTTTAAACATATGATTGATAACACAATCGTATTCATTACCATCGGGAATGTCAGTACTATTTCTGAGGAGAAAAAGTTTGTTTTCTTCTCCATATGAAAACCAATTAATATTGCAAACAAGACAAAAATAAAGAATAAATTAAACAACAATCATTACTCTCAATTATCACGGAAAAAAGTTATTAAAAATATCATCATGCTTTTTACTTCTTGCAATTCATCAAAGATTGTCAATAAATTTGTAGTACAAATTCTTAATGAAATGAACTAATTCTCAAAAAAAAAAAATATAATTGAATCAATTATGGTATTTTTTTTCCTCTTCAACGTTACCAACTTACCATAGAAAACTTGGACCTAAAATTTCGACATAGAAAAGAATAAGACTGAATAAACAGACCCTATTTAAAATTTAAATCATTTGAGTTGTGTGTATAAAAATCCTAAATCCTAAGGTACTGTAATTAATATCTGGTCCTAAAATTAAATGTACAAGCTAAAAACGTGAGAGAAGTAAATTTAAAATCTTTGACAAGCAATAAATGAGATGCTGACAAATTGATTTCAAAGTTTTCAACGCGTTTCTATAAGAATTCAATTTCGTGCAGCTAATCAGGAGAAAAATAGTTAAATTAAAGGGTAAATTCATCGTTACTTTTATATACTAATATATTCTTCTTAATAAAAAAATTACTACTTCCTCCCACTTCCCATCTTTCCTTTTGTGTTCATCTTCCCTGCGCTTTGCCCCAATCTCTCTTTCTCTCTCTACGGAAGAAAAAATAAAAGGATCTATCTTTGACGGCTCTCTCAATCTTCCTCACTCCGTAAGTTGCAAATCTCTCTTTCTGTCTCCCATATATGTATCGTCCGACGAAAACCCAGGAGAATTGCTCAAGCCCTTTTTGTTTATCCATCTTATCTGATTCTCGATTTCTGTTTCGAGTCTATGTCTCCTTTTTAGGTTGTATTGTCCTTTCTCGAGGTCCTTCTTGTCGAATTGAATTTGCTTATTCTTTTGTTTTTATTCTTGTTTGTGAATCATTTCGTCGCTTGAAATCTTATGGTCACACTGTTTGTTGTAGTTAGCTCTTTCTCGCTAAAATTGGCTAATTCTGATGTTTATTTTCGTTTTCTTCTTCTGCAGTTTGGCTACGTCGTGTTTGATCTGATACTGGACTCTTCTCGCTTCCTGCTTCGTGTCCCTGGTTTCGGTATGTTTTAGGGTTTTAGTCGGAATAGACTGATGGATTCGCTGGAGCTTGATAATTACTGTTAGATCAGACGTATAATTCAGCCATCGCTGAAGTAAAAAGTATATGGAAGAAGCAAAGATCCTTCACAAGTTTTTTGGTTTGCAGTAGATGTTGAGAGGGAAAAGTAGCAGTTTTTTTGTTGGATTTTGGGGATAAAAAGTGAAGTCTTTGCGTGTGTAATCTGAGATAAAGATTGGATGGTGGGAAGAGAGGATGCAATGGGGAATGATGAGGTTCCTCCTGGTTCTAAGAGAATGTTTTGGCGGTCTGCGTCTTGGTCTGCTTCACGTACTGCATCACAAGTTCCTGAGAGTGAAGAGCAGCATCTGAACAATCCGTATGCTAACAGTTCTGGGCCGAGTCGAAGATGTCCAGCTGCTCCTTTAACACCTCGATCACATCATAACAGTAAAGCTAGAGCTTGTTTACCGCCATTGCAGCCTCTTTCCATTTCCAGAAGGAGCTTAGATGAGTGGCCGAAGGCGGGCTCAGATGATGTAGGTGAGTGGCCTCATCCACCTACACCTAGCGGGAACAAAACCGGGGAGAGACTGAAGCTTGATTTATCATCAACGCAGCAGCGGGTCCCAGATAAGAGCTCTGGTCTAGCTAAGAGGGAGAAGATTGCTTACTTTGATAAAGAATGTTCAAAGGTCGCTGATCATATCTATGTGGGTGGAGATGCTGTGGCGAAAGACAAGAACATATTGAAGAAGAATGGAATCACACATATCCTGAACTGCGTTGGTTTTATCTGTCCGGAATATTTCAAGTCTGATTTTTGTTACCGGTCGTTGTGGTTACAGGATAGTCCATCAGAGGATATAACTAGTATTCTTTACGATGTGTTTGACTACTTTGAAGATGTTAGGGAGCAAAGTGGAAGGATCTTTGTTCACTGTTGCCAAGGGGTTTCACGGTCTACCTCATTGGTGATAGCATATCTAATGTGGAGAGAAGGGCAGAGTTTTGATGATGCATTTCAGTATGTGAAGTCTGCTAGAGGAATTGCTGATCCTAACATGGGCTTTGCTTGCCAATTGTTACAGTGCCAGAAGAGGGTTCATGCGTTCCCGCTTAGCCCCACTTCCTTACTTAGAATGTACAAAATGTCTCCGCACTCCCCTTATGATCCTTTGCATCTTGTTCCAAAACTGTTGAATGATCCTTGCCCGTCTTCTCTGGATTCTAGAGGTGCATTCATCATTCAATTGCCCTCTGCAATATACATTTGGGTTGGTAGGCAATGCGAAGCCATCATGGAAAGAGATGCAAAAGCTGCTGTTTGTCAGATTGCTCGATATGAGAAAGTTGAAGCGCCTATTATGGTGGTCAGAGAAGGCGAGGAGCCTACTTATTACTGGGACGCTTTTGCAAGCATTTTGCCTATGATTGGGGACTCGGTTGTTAAAACTCAACCAGGTGACAGGAAGGTCGATGCATATAATCTGGACTTTGAGATTTTCCAGAAAGCAATCGAGGGAGGTTTTGTGCCAACTCTAGCATCATCCAACAACGAACATGAGACTCATCTTCCTGCAAGGGAAAACAGTTGGAGTTCACTGAAATGCAAGTTTGCATCAAGGTTTGAGAAGGGTTTTCGTTCTGTCTCCAAAACGCCACTTTCCAGGGTCTACTCTGATTCGATGATGATCGTGCATGCATCAGGCTCACCTTCATCAACAACTTCTTCATCATCGTCTGCGTCACCTCCTTTTCTTTCTCCTGATTCGGTATGCACGACAAATTCAAGGAATAGCCTAAAGAGTTTCTCACAAACTTCTGGGCTCTCGTCCTTGAGACCTTCTTCTATTCCACCATCTTTGACATTGCCAAACTTTTCAAGCCTATCTCTCCTCCCGTCCCAAACTTCTCCTAAAGAGTCTTTTGGTGTCAATAATTTTCCACAGCCGTATATTGAACCGTCACCAAATAGAAAGGTTTCACCTTCTCTTGCAGAGCGTAGAGGCAATCTGAAAAGGCCACTGAAGCTGCCTGGTTTAGCTGATTCCAACAGAGGAACAACTGGTTTCACTTTACATCCGGATGATAGTAATGACATTGTGTTCAACTTGGAGGGTGTTAGAAATGGTGATCTAAATCCATTAAGTGATGGCGAGGGGACAGTACCTTCTGATAGAACTGTAGATTCAGATTTGCCACAGAAGGAAATGATATCCTTAATCAGTTGCAGTAAATCTGATAAACGTGAATCAGGAAGTGGCGACTTTGGACAGCCTTTCGGTTGTCTGTGGCCAAGTATGGAGATGATTACAGAACTGAGCAGAGCTCACTTAGATTCAGAATCTGTTATAGGAATTCCGTTGCCAAGTAATGATGTAGGAGGAACCGGTAGTAGAAATTTGTACATTTGGATAGGAAAGTCATTCTCTTTCGATAGCAACCGTTCTATGTTAGATAGCAACAAAGCGATGGACACTGTGGAGAATCTTGATTGGGTAGAGATTGGTGAAACCATTTTGTCTCAGATGAACTTGCCTAAAGATACCCCTATAAAGGTAATAGCCAGAATTTGGACTTTTACTAGTGTTAAAAAGTCTGCTTGGTGATTTTAGTCGTGTCTTATGCAACCAAAATAAAAAATTTGAAACTGGAGATTACAATCTCAGTACTTTCATTACTTGGTGCTGTCAAAACTAGGATCATAGATTTTTTTAATGGTCTATTATGTCAAGAGACGTTGAATCCTTATTATTTCAGGAGTTGTATTTTGGTAGTGTAGTAGTGGTTTATTGATCTCTAGTGCTTGCTTGGTAACTGATAAGTTGCTTCTCCTTTTGTCCACAGATAGTTAGGGAAGCGGAGGATCAGACAGAGTTTCTTGCGCTGCTGAGTGCGCTATAGCACCCGCCCGCAAGTTCTTCACATTTAATCGTCCTTGCTTTTTTTTTTCTTTCACAGATTCCTTCAACTCAACACTTTTCCATTTTCAGTCACAGCATTCAGCTCAGGTGAGAAGTTCTCTAAACGCATTCCATATTACTTTGTCTTTACTTTTCCAATAAAACCCAAATTCTCATAAACCAAAGTGTCCATTTGGTTTTGCAGGGTCCTCTCTCTCACTTGTTATGGAAGTTATGTTGAAGAAACAACTCTCTTGTACAGTTTGGAAAGCCGCTTCTTCCACATTGTATCCTCAAGGGCCATTATTAGCATATTATCAGATAGAATTGTAAGGTTAAGGCTGTAAGAGGAATCTATATAATAGCAAATGCACTTTCCCTTTTTGCTGAAGTCACAGCATTTTTTTTAGACTATGTACATTGGTTTTAATATTCAACATAATACTTTTTTTCTTTTAGCAATTGCATAAATCACTATGCGGTCTATGCTACACAAGTGTCCCTCCATCACTATAGTAAATATTTTCCTTCAATGTATATACGTTCACACAATGTTGCGTTGCGTTCTATTAGTGGATATGTGCGTTCAAGAGTCCAAAAATGTCGTAAAGTCAAATCAATGCGTCAATAAAATTAACCCTTTAGCCGACTGATATTCAAAGTTTTCCAAATACTGTTATCTGTTATAACACATATCATATATGGACTCTTATACCGGCCCATTAGGCCCATCAGAGCATTGTACTTAACCTAGATTTCCTATGTACTCTATATATACATTCCAGTGATTAATAAAGTTTCTAAGTTTTCACAACACGTTATCAGCACGATAAGACTCTCTGAGCGAAAAACCCTAATAAATCCGGCCACCACCAAAACCCTAAAAGCAAGTCGAAACTTAAAAGACGCATATCTTCAAAACCGTGAGGAACCAGAAGACGATCTACATATCAAATCGAAGCCCTCGACGAGACGAATCTACTGGTGAAAACCGTTTGTCGATCCAACGTCGGACGCGCCCTCACGCACACTTACAGTACACGACGATCAACCGAAAAAAAAAAAACCAGATCCGAGTTTTTCCTTCTTCAACCAGCAGCTTCTCCAGTTTTGGTGATCAATCCTTGGAATTTGTAGCGGCTAACTGAGGTCTATTAGCTCCCAGTTTCATTAGCCTGTCAGAAATCCAAAGGTGGAAAAGGTATCTTCTAAAACTGAGAGCCATAGAACCTGTTGTTTAAACACTTCAAAACCCTATAAAAAAAAAAAATCGATCTCTAATTGATTGAAAGTGTTTGATACTCTGATGATTGATTCATAACTTGTTGATTGATTGTTTAAATTACAAGTTTATGCATGTTCAAAGGTTTTAAACTCGTTTTATAAAACCCTAATCTACAAAAACCTAACAACCGTTTTTGGCCATGTTTATGGCATAAACCTATTCGATTTTCTTCATGTTTAATAAGCTTGTTGCAGCTTATTTGATTGTTGATTCTCTTGCTTGAAACACTTGATTGAATAAACTAAGAAAATCAACCCTAAATCCTAAGCTTGATTCACGATTTTGTAATCTTCAAAATCGTAAGTCATAATGCTTAAACCCTAGTCCTTTTCACGTGATTTCTTTGTTGTCCTTGTGAAATTATTAAAACCATCGACCACAGATCCTATAGATCTCGAAATCACATCCAAAATATGTTTTCCAAACCGTTAAAACCCTAGATAAAACCCTAATCATATTCGGCTCCCCTAGGGTTCCTCCTAAACCGCCTAAAACCGGCTAAACCTGGTTCTCATTAACCGAAATTATATTCGGCTTTAACCGATTAAATCACAGCTATTAAACCGACATCATGTTCGGGGTAACTAAAACCATACCCTTTAAAATTTACTATTGCCGAGAAAGTTCCCTCTAATAGAAAGTTTCCTCATATAAAAATTTTCCTCATATAGAAATTTTCCCGACATAGAAACTTTCCTCATTTAGAAAATTACCCAAATTAGAAACTTTCCAAATTTAGAAACTTTCCTAAAATAGAAATATTCTCAAAATAGAAAGTTTCATCATCAGCATTCAAAATTTTCTCAAAACAATCCCTAACAAAATCAATCTCATGTTTCAGATGTCAAACATTCAGAAATGTGAATTCGAGGCCCTTCACGTCTCCGGGGATAACTACCTCGAGTGGGCCCTAGACATGCACTTGTTCCTTGCATCGAAAGAACTCGATGCATGTATAACCGACGGTAACACCGCATCCCGTAAGGGACAGTCTCAGGCGATATGTCACATACGCCATCATCTGGCCCCGAGCCTTAAGCAGCAATATCTCACTCTTGAGAATCCACTTGAATTGTGGCAAGCGCTGAAAAAGCGATATGACCATCAGAAAATGGTCCAGTTGCCTCAGGCAGATTTCGACTGGAAGAACCTTCGGTTCCAGGACTACAAATCCGTAGATGATTACAACAACGAACTCTTTCGTATTGTTGCCATCCGGAAACTCTGTGGCGAGAATGTGACAGATAATGATCTCCTCGAGAAAACATTATCCACATTCAGCACAGAGAATGTTGTGCTCCAACAACAATACCGTGCAATGAAACACTTATTGTACGAAGACTTGTTGTCCTGTCTTCTCCTCGCTGAGAAGAATAACCAGCTGCTTATGAGGAACAGCGCTATGAGGCCCCCGGGATCAGCTCCTGTCCCAGCTTCTCGTCAAGAGTCCTACCATGTTCAACCTGATAGATCCTCAGATCACCGCCGTGGACGTGGTAATGGACGTGGTAATGGCCGAGGACATGGACGTGGAAGACGTGGATGCGGACATGGTCGTGGCAACCGACCTAACCTCAGTTATGGTCCTGGTCGTGGTCGAGGCATCACCAAGCCGACCCGCCACACCAACCCCGATCACTCTGCTTGTACCAGATGTGGGATGTTCAACCACCCAACAAAGCAATGTCGCACCCCCAAGATCCACTGCGATCTATACCAGAAGTACGGAAAAGCTCCTGCTGAAGCCAACATGACTCAGCCAGTCAATGCTGCTAACCTGGAAGGTGACGACCTCCTTGATGATGAGAACACCACAAACGAGCAGACCGACCCCATGGACTATGAAACAGCTGATCTCCTCGATTAATTCAATCATCTGAAACTCTGATACAATTTGATTTTGTTCTTTATTTTTTTCATTTTGGGATTTGTTTCATTTTTTTTTTCCATTTGCCTTTATTCTCAGACACTGCTTTACTTTATGATTTATCACTTTTTCTGAATTCCTCAATACTGAATTCTATCTTCTATTCATAATAAAGCACACCAGCAAATGGAAACCATAGTCGTAGATAGTGGATCCAGCCACACTATCTTAAGAAACAAAAGTTACTTCATAAACCTAACCTATCAAACCGCAAATATTAGCACCATCGCGGGTCCCTCAAACCTTATCGAAGGATATGGCCATGCCTATGTGTTGCTATCAAATGGCACACAACTTGAAATACCAGATGCTCTATATTCTCCTAGTTCGAAGAGAAATCTTCTGAGCTTCAAGGATATAAGACAGAATGGTTTCCACATAGAAACCCAAGGTCAAGGGAACAAAGAATCCCTCCTAGTCACTAAAACCGTAGACGGCCATAAACAAATCCTCGAAACCATACCCGCGCTCTCTACTGGACTTTACCATGCTAAAGTCAGTATGATTGAAGCTAATACCACTCTCAAAGCCCGGTTTACTGATTATACCATTTGGCACGACCGGCTCGGTCATCCCGGTGCAAATATGATGCGTAAACTAATTCAAAACTCTCAAGGGCATACCCTCAAAGAAAACCGAGCTTATCCTCAACACCTCATGTGCACAGCTTGTTCTCAAGGCAAATTGATCACTCGGCCTTCACCAGTTAAAATCTCTAAACAAACACTTCATTTCCTAGAAAGAATCCAGGGCGATATCTGTGGACCTATACATCCATCTTCCGGACCATTCCGGTACTTCATGGTCCTTATAGACGCATCGACCCGTTGGTCATATGTTTGTCTCTTGTCCTCTCGGAACCAAGCCTTCGCTAGGTTCTTGGCCCAAATCATAAAATTGCGGGCCCATTTCCCTGACTTCCCACTAAAGACTATCCGCCTTGACAATGCTGGTGAATTTACCTCACAAGCGTTTAATGACTACTGTATGGCCATGGGGGTAACCGTGGAACATCCTGTACCACATGTCCATACTCAAAATGGATTGGCTGAATCATTCATTAAACGCATTCAATGGATAGCCCGACCATTACTCATGAGATCAAAGCTCCCGGCCTCAGCATGGGGACATGCAGTATTACATGCTGCTGAACTCATACGCATCCGGCCATCTAGTGAACACAAATATTCCCCATCCCAACTACTCTCGGGTCATGAGCCAGACATCTCCCATCTCAAAACATTTGGGTGTTCAGTATATGTACCCATTGCTCCACCACATCGAACCAAAATGGGACCTCAAAGAAGGATGGGAATATATGTTGGTTTTGACTCTCCCACCATCATAAGATATCTCGAGCCAACCACTGGAGATCTCTTCAAGGCCAGATATGCGGATTGCCAATTCGATGAATCGGTATATCCCTCTTTAGGTGGTGAGACAAACAAGCTGGTCAAAGATCTTTCATGGAATCAAACATCATTAAATTGGCAAGATCCTCGGACTCTAGGATGTGATTCAGAGATCCAAAAGATTATTCATTATCAAAAGCTAGCTAATCAATTGCCAGATTCCTTTGCTGACCCGACCAAAGTAACCAAATCGTACATCCCAGCTTGTAATGCACCAGTACGAATAGCTGTCCCAACGGGACAGACCCAAGTTGCTACAGAGTCTGCACCACGTCTCAAACGGGGCAGACCTCTCGGTTCCAAAGATAAGAATCCCCGGAAATCAAAGAAAGGTGCAATAACCGAAACCGGGATTCCTGCAATATCAGACATAGCCGCGGCTGAGACTCAATCTAATGAACCCTCAATGGAAGTTCGGGACGCCGAATCTCCAGGTTCAGAAGATAACAATGAGATCTCCATCAATTACAATATGTCCGGAATACAATGGAATCGAAAAGAAGTCGACTTAAATGCACTCTTTGCATACAAAGTAGCACTTGATGTTGCGCTCACGCAAGAGGATCTAGAACCCACGTCAATAACACAGTGTACACATCGAACAGATTGGCTAAAATGGAAAGAAGCCATAAACGTGGAGTTAAAGAGTCTCAAACTCAGAAACGTGTTCGGTCCGATCATCCGGACCCCATCACACATCAAGCCAGTGGGCCACAGATGGGTCTTTGTGCGCAAAAGGAACGAACTCGGTGAAGTCGTTCGATACAAAGCACGGCTTGTAGCACAAGGATTCTCACAGAGACCCGGAATCGATTATGAGGAGACTTATTCTCCAGTGGTGGATGCAACAACATTCCGATTCCTCATAAGTCTGGCCATAAGAGAAAATCTTGATCTGCGGTTAATGGATGTTGTAACCGCATATCTCTATGGGCCCCTGGACAACGAAATATATATGAGACTCCCAGATGGCATTGAACTAAAAGACAAAAATGCATCTCGAGATCAATACTGCATCAGGCTGAACAAATCCTTGTATGGACTGAAACAAAGTGGGCGTATGTGGTACAACCGCCTCAGCGATTACCTCATCAAAGAAGGCTACAAAAATGACCCCATCAGTCCATGCATCTTCATCAAGAAGTACTCAAACAAAGGATTTGTAATCATAGCAGTATACGTGGATGATCTAAACATCCTCGGAACATCTGGTGAGATCTCCCAAACAGTCGACTGCTTAAAAGCAGAATTCGAAATGAAAGACCTAGGCAAAACAAAGTACTGTTTGGGATTACAACTTGAGTACATCAAAGGAGGAATCCTTGTGCATCAATCGGCTTATATCGAAAAGGTACTCAAGCGATTTAATATGGACCAAGCTCACCCATTGACCAGCCCAATGGTAGTTAGAAGCTTAAGTGATGACCCTCTTGGTCCCAAAAAGGATGATGAAGAAATCCTTGGTCCTGAAAAGCCATACCTCAGTGCTGTAGGAGCGTTAATGTACCTGGCTAGTCACACTAGACCAGACATATGTTTCGCCGTGAACCTCCTCGCTCGATATAGTTCATCCCCAACTCAGAGGCACTGGAACGGTATAAAACATCTCCTAAGATACCTTCGAGGTACTCAAGACTTAGGACTCTTCTATACTAACCAAAATAAAGATGGGTTAGTCGGCTTCGCCGATGCAGGATATCTATCAGATCCGCACACTGCCAAGTCTCAAACTGGCTACGTTTTTACGCATGGAGGAACAGCCATCTCTTGGAGATCAATGAAGCAGACACTCACTGCCACTTCATCAAACCATGCTGAAATCCTAGCCATTCATGAGGCTAGTAGGGAATGCGTCTGGCTGCGCTCCATGACTCAGCACATCCGCAGAGATTGTGGTATGGACGAAGACACACAGCCCACGGTGATGTATGAAGACAACGCGGCATGCATAGCTCAGCTCAAGGAAGGATATATCAAAGGAGATCGGACGAAGCACATTCTACCGAAGTTCTTCTCAACCTCAGACTGGCAGAAGGACGGCACTCTCAGCGTTCAGCAGGTCCGATCCAGTGAGAATTCAGCTGACCTCTTCACCAAATCATTGCCTACTTCAACACACCGGAAGCTCGTCAAACAGATAGGAATGTATAGACTTAGAGATCTGCAGTGATGCTACAATCAGGGGGAGTAATGCGTGTTGTACTCTTTTTCCTTCACCATGGTTTTGTCCCACTGGGTTTTTCCTGGTAAGGTTTTAATGAGGCAACATTCCCCAGCGCATTATCGAGATCCCGATTGAGTAGCTGGCCCGGTTCACTCGTCCAAGGGGGAGTGTTATAACACATATCATATATGGACTCTTATACCGGCCCATTAGGCCCATCAGGACATTGTACTTAACCTAGATTCTCTATGTACTCTATATATACATTCCAGTGATTAATAAAGTTTCTAAGTTTTCACAACATTATCATGTTTTTTTTATTAATCATGTGATGAAACTTATAAATTAACCTCGTTAAAAATGGGCCTAGATTCAGTTGATTGACGAGGCCCAATACATTGTCAAGGCCCAAAATGCATCGATTAGGGTTTTAGTATATTGTTTCATTTTCACTTGCCTACATTAAATAAAACCTTCCAGCCACTTCAAGCTGATCTAGGGTTTCTGTTTCGCCGCTCAGGTTCGTCCTTCTCACGATCTCCCTCTTGCCTTCTTCTCAGCTTCAATTGCTTTCTTCGTTTTCTGGGTATTGAATCATGTCGTTAAAGTTTTTTGGAGACGATTAAATTTTTTTCATTTTCTCGGGGTAAACAAATGATTGATGATTCACAATCTCCGGAAAAATTATTTGTATTTTGTTGATTGGTTACCGCTCCCAAGATTTGAAGCTTTGTTTTGATCACTGCAATTTCTCTTAGAACTGATTTGCTTTACTGGGTTTAGCAGGTTTTGTGGTAAGGATCGCTGTTGTTTGAGTAATGGCTCCAGCTAAAGGTACGGCTTATCCATTGAAATCTGATTTGCTTTTGAATATGATTGGACTATGGGTTTCTACATCGTCTTGTAGTTCATGCTGTGTTCTCGCTTGCCTGACTCTATGATTTTTGTTTAATTTTGATTTGACACGGAACAAAGTTTTCTTAGACTCCTTGCTTGTTTTTGAACCTATTGTTAACGAAACAGCATTTGAGCTTAATCCGAAATTGAGCATTTGATGCGTAGTGTTTACTGTTATATGTCTTGTAACTAGCAGAATCTTTGTGGAAATGGCTACTAATGGTTATTGATTTGTTAGCAGAATCTTTTGCTTGCATGCCTTGTACTTGTAGATCATAAATCATTTTTATGGCTTGAGTTTTAATAGAATTTGACTTGTAGCCTTGTAAAGATTCTGTTTTTGAAGCTTTCATGATTGATTCAACTCTCTGTTTCTCTTTTTGCAGTTGATGTCACTAAGAAAGCTGACCCGAAGGCTAAGGCCTTGAAAGCTGCGAAAGCAGTGAAATCAGGCCAAGTCTTCAAGAAGAAGGATAAGAAGATCAGAACAAAGGTGACTTTCCACAGGCCAAAGACATTGACAAAGGCCAGGGACCCAAAGTACCCACGTATCAGTGCAACTCCAAGGAACAAGTTGGATCATTACGGGATCCTCAAGTACCCTCTCACTACCGAATCAGCGATGAAGAAGATTGAAGACAACAACACTTTAGTCTTCATTGTCGACATTCGTGCTGACAAGAAGAAGATCAAAGATGCCGTGAAGAAGATGTATGACATTCAGACCAAGAAAGTCAATACCCTCATTAGGTAAACTTCACTTGAGTTTTCTGTTCCTCTGTAATTAAAATCAGAGGGATGATGATGAGTTTAATTCAATTTTTCTGTTGTTGCAGGCCTGATGGAACGAAGAAGGCGTATGTGAGATTGACTCCTGATTATGATGCTTTGGATGTGGCTAACAAAATCGGCATCATCTAATCTATCATCCTTGTTCTCCCCTTTTTCTTTTGGAGTTAAAAACAGACTTTTTGTTTTTGTCTTCCATAGTCTCAGTTTTGCTAGAGAATTTAAAAGATCTTTATCATCATCTCTTTCTTGTGTCTTTATCGTTTTTTTGCGAAGATTATATGTTTGGTATTTTCTGGATGCGGTATTATTTCTTTTATCTTGTTCCAGTTACTCTTGCGGTCTCTCTCATACCTCTATTTAGTTATACTAAATCCTAATTTTGTATCTTTAATTGGAAAGCGTGACGCTTAACCAATCTTGCTATCAATATTCATAAACAATTTCCAATCAATGAAATAATATTTTTTTTGCATGTTCTCTTGGAAATCTTCTTGCAACTGTGCTAAATTCGGAAAACCTAATTAGTTTGGTGGGTCTACTACAGGAATCAGTTAGAGATTTTGATTGCCACGTTAAATTGTCGTTTTGGTTTAGAGAGAAGGGCTTTTATATCTAAAACTGTGTTGTGGCTTCTCTTTCTCCGCCATACCCACACACCAGAGAAATAATATGAGCAATTATCAAACTGTAAGATAGCTTCTCCTCTCTCATTTCATTTCCCTTTTTCTTTTCCCTTTAATTTTATTTCCATTTATTTATTACACAAATTTGATTTGATTTATCTTGTGTCCTTTTTTTTGTTTTTTTTTTTGGAAAGAGAAGCAGGTGTTGAAGCAAATAGAGCCATGGTGTGAGCTTAAAGACAAAGTGGTTCTTGTAACCGGAGCTTCTTCTGGTATAGGAAGAGAGATCTGTCTTGATTTAGGCAAAGCTGGCTGTAAAATCATCGCAGCAGCTCGTCGTATAGATCGTCTCAAATCTCTCTGCTCTGAAATCAACAGTTTCAACTCAACCGGAACCAACCAATTAGCCGCACCTCTCGAGCTAGACGTTTCATCAGACGCAGCCACCATTCAAAAAGCGGTCAAGAAAGCTTGGCAAGTCTTTGGAAAGATCGATGCATTGATCAACAATGCTGGAATCAGAGGAAACGTCAAGACGAGTTTGGAATTGTCAGAACAAGAATGGGACAAAGTCTTGAGAACCAACTTAACCGGACCTTGGTTAGTCTCCAAATACGTTTGCATTCTAATGAGAGACGCTAATAACCACGGTGGTGGCTCGGTGATAAACATCTCATCGATCTCTGGACTCCACCGTGGTATGTTGCCAGGTGGAGTCGCTTATGCTTGTTCCAAAGGTGGTGTGGACACCATGACGAGGATGATGGCTATTGAGTTAGGTGTTTACAAGATCAGAGTTAACTCGATCGCACCAGGGCTTTTGAAGTCTGAGATCACGCAAGGTCTTATGGAGAAAGAGTGGCTCAAGAACGTTACGGAACGGACTATACCGTTAAAGGTGCAACAGACTGTGGATCCGGGACTTACCTCTCTGGTTCGCTATCTGATTCATGACTCTTCTCAATACGTCTCTGGGAATACATACATTGTTGATTCCGGAGCTACGTTGCCTGGTCTGCCCATTTTTTCTTCGCTTTGAAGCACAAAAAAGCTTGTGTGTGTTGTGCAATAATATAAGTGAATGCATTTATAAACATTTTCTTTATATACATTATTCATGTCTTTGGTGAAAGTTGCTATAAAAGATGTATGACTTTCTTCTTTGACAAGTAGAATCTGCTTCAAGATTTTAATTGTAACAAAGGCTTTTTGAATTTTTTTAATCCCCGGTAAAATCATCTGTATATAGTAGTAATTCCTAATTTTGTATCTTTAATTGGAAGGTGTGACCTGCTTAAGTATCAAACTCTAAACTAAAGCTATCAATATAATAACAGATTAACAGTAGTCAGTGGTAGACTGGTAGTTCACAGTGGAGCCCACACTCTGAATAATTAATTAATCATTTTTTAAAGTTCTTCTTTCTCTTCCCTTTCTCTTCCCTTTCTCTACCACCAACTCATCACCATTATTGCTTCGAAATTAAAGCATCAGAACAGATCTAATAGTTTGGTAGTTATACGAACCAGCTACAGACTTAAAGAGAGAGAGAGAGAGAGAGAGCTTCTCCACCGCACACACACTTAAGGAACAATATGAGTAATCATCAAACTGTAAGATGTCTTTTATCTCGTTTACCATTATGCCCTTCACTTTTTTTTGTTTGGTCCTTTCCTTTTTTGTGCAAATTTATCAGACAAGCTTCTGAATCATGACAAATTCATGTGTTTCTGTCTTTTTTTAAAATCCGAATTAATTGATTTATTTGGGAAAGAGAAGCAGGTGTTGAAGCAACTGGAGCCATGGTGTGAGCTTAAAGACAAAGTGGTTCTTGTGACAGGAGCTTCTTCTGGTATAGGAAGAGAGATCTGTCTTGATCTCGGCAAAGCTGGCTGTAAGGTTATCGCAGCAGCTCGTCGCGTCGATCGTCTCAAATCCCTCTGCTCTGAAATCAACAGCTTCAGTTCAACCGGAATCCAATTAGCTGCACCGCTCGAGCTAGACGTTTCATCAGACGCAGCCACCATTCAAAAAGCGGTCAAGGAAGCTTGGCAAGTCTTTGGAAAGATCGATGCGTTGATCAACAATGCTGGATTTAGAGGAAATGTCAAGTCGAGTCTGGAATTGTCTGAAGAAGAGTGGAACAAAGTCTTCAGGACCAACTTAACCGGACCTTGGTTAGTATCCAAATACGTCTGCCTTCTAATGAAGGACGCTAACATCGGTGGCTCGGTGATAAACATCTCATCGATCTCCGGGCTCCATCGAGGTAAAAAGCCCGGTGGAGTCGCGTATGCTTGTTCCAAAGGTGGTGTTGACACCATGACGAGGATGATGGCTATTGAGCTAGGTGTTTACAAGATCAGAGTCAACTCGATCGCACCGGGGCTTTTTAGGTCAGAGATCACGCAAGGTCTTCTGGAGAAAGAGTGGCTCAAGAAGGTGACTGACCGGACTGTCCCGTTGACGGTGGAACAGACCGTGGATCCGGGACTTAGCTCTCTCGTTCGTTATCTCATTCATGACTCTTCTCAATACGTCTCCGGGAATACGTACATTGTTGATTCCGGAGCTACGTTGCCTGGTGTGCCTATTTTTTCTTCGCTTTGAACCTCCAATCTTGTGTACTGCGCAGTAATAAATGAATACAATTACACATTCTCTTTACATACATTATCCATGTTTTCTATGACACAGTGAAAGACAACAAAAAATATAGCCTCCAAAAACCTTAAACAAAATCGATATACATTGGAGCACTGAAGCAATGACCATGACCTACTCTGATACTTCGTCTCCAAAAAAAAAAGAATAAGCAGCTTCAACACCGACGAAATCTACACCTACAATCCCTATTTGCTACAGAACTAACCGTGGTTTAATACTTTTTTTTTCTTCTGAGCATTTCGTGTCTCTCCCGAGAAATCATTTGATCAGAGAGATGCCATAATCATTTCCATCCAAAACTCTATATCAGCCGATGTTGGCGTAGACCTTTACCGAAATGTGGTTGCATCAAACGGACATACAATCCATTCTTTGCTGCTAAAGAATCATGTGTACCTTCCTCTACTATTCTCCCTCCATTGAGAACCACAATGCTATCAACATGTCTCATCATAGCCGCTCTATGTGCTATTAGAATTGTTGTTTTGTTCCCCATTATCAATGTGTCAAGAGCCTCCTGCACAACCCGACTAGATTCAGATTCGATAGACGAGCTTGCTTCATCTATTAAGAGTATGGGAGCATTCTTCAGCACTACCCTTGCTATCGCTATTCTCTGTTTCTGTCCCGGGGTCAGTTCAACGCCTCTCATCCCGATATGTGTGTCGTAACCATGAGGTAAGCTGCTGATGAAATGGTGAGCATTTGCTATTCTTGCTGCTTCTTTCATCTCAGCTTCACTCGCATTATGCCTCGCATATATAATATTCTCTCTGATCGTCGTTGAAAAGATTATGGGTTCCTGCTGAACCAAACCCATGTGGCTTCTCAACCATCTCAAATTATATAACTTCAAGTCTCTCCCATCTAGTAGTATTTGACCAGCAACTGGGTCATAGTATCTCTCAATCAGTGAGATTATTGTGCTCTTTCCAGAACCCGAAACGCCAACTACAGCTACGGTCTGGCCCCCACTGACTTTGAGACTGAAGTTGCTCAGCACTAACACCTCGGGTCGAGTTGGGTAGCAAAAGTCGATGTTTTTCAACTCTATGCTTCCGTAGACATTAGGCGGCTTAAGAGCAGAGTTATCATCTGGTTCAATCGTAGGGACTCGATCTATGATTTCAAACACTGATATGAGAGACTTACGGCGCTTGAGAATATATGGTGCTAACCCAAATGGCTCGACGAGGGCAAATGTAGCAAAAGAGAAAACCATGTACTCCGTTATTGCTGTGGATAACGTCATATACCCGCGATTAACAGATAAGGCAGTGCACCATAGGAGGAGAGCATTACAGGCGAATAGAAGAAACTGTGAAAAGCCAAACGCAAAACCAATAGCCATCCCATGGAAAAAGCTCTGTCTGAGTATCCGCTGGAGTTGCATCCTATAGAGTTCCATCACCTTGTTACCAGCACAGAAAGCAACAACAGTGTAGATGTTTCTAACAGCATCCTCAAGGACTAAAGATGCCTTTCTATGCATCTCCTGTATGCCTTTTGAGAATCCAGCAAGCCACAGTTTCTGCAAATTCGTTTTGAGGGTGATTAGATTGTGGTGTTGCTAAATAAACACACATTTTCTGAGCTCCGTCCATGAGAATGAGATGGCAAAAAAATTAAAACAAAAAAAATAACGAAGCACGTGAATAGAAACGCAAATCGACAAATATATAACACAAGAATATAAATTTTAAGCAACCTTCTAGAAGAAAGGATGCAAACCTGAGCAATGGCAGAAAGAGTGAGTATTGGCAGAGTTGCCAATGCAACAAGGGCCAAACGCCAACCAAGCAACAACCCAATAAGAAGAGCAACAATAACAGCAAAACTATCTTGAATAAATATCGAAAGCCTGTTGCTGAAGGCAGCTCGGACAAAAGTAGCATCGTTGGCTAAGCGCATCGATAACGTATCTGGACTGTTCTCTTCATCATCAAACCATCCAACTTCGTTACGCAGCATCGCTGTAACACCAGGGAAATTTATTTAACTGAGGCAAGTAAAAGTAGCTAAAAGGTGGTGAAGTAAATGATAATGAACAAAATTTTCCAGTACCTGAGAACATCATCCTCCGAACTCTCTCCGTCATTTTCTCCCCCATTATACCAAAGTAGAAGTGCTGCAAGAAATTGGCAACAACTGTCACTATCCCCATGCAAGCAATGATCAAACACCATTTGTCAACATCCTCGCGCAGGTGGCCTCCTTTGCTCCTATAATATGCCGTTACTACCAACGCGATGACATAAGCCAGAAGAGGATTGAAAGAACCAAAGATGGCAGCACCAATACTCCCTAATACAGCATAAAGCCACTCTGGGAAACTAAGCTGTGCCAACCTCCAAAATGAAGGTGACTCCTTGTGTTGAGCATCCTTGCCCGCCTTACCATTTGCTGTAGTATCGTTTGAAGAACTAAGGGGACGGCTAAACGTCTGAGAATGGGAACGCTCGTTTTTAGGATCTGATGTCAAAAGGGGTGAAACAGGGGACTCTGGATCTGAGCCGTTTGATTTCTGACGAGTATACTGAACATCGATTTTAGGAAGTTCTGGTAACCTCATCTCGAAACTATCTTGCCTTGTCATAGTTGGCTCTTTATCAGAATCTTCCAGAGGCAAGTCATTTTCCCCCATTTTCTCAGGTGCAGTCGCAGGGCTATGATCATAAGATGATTCTTCAGTATTAAAACACAGTTCCTGGCGACGGAACATGCCATTACCTCTTTGAAGAGATGGAGACTTCATCATTTTCGGTGATGATGGTTCTTGGACGCCACAGGCAGCTGAAGAGTCCCTCTCAACCTGAAACACTGCAGACTCCTTGTAGTTTCTAACTGGCATCCTGTATGAACATACAAGTTCCTTAAACAAGAGGAGTAAAAAAAATCCACCCTCCTAACAATCATAACAGGAGAAAACAAATGCCCAAACATATAATCTGAAACATGACTTTCGCTACACAACTAACTGGTTATGTTCTAAGCTATCATACCTTCTCGGAAGCTTTGTTGCTTCTTCACATTTCAGAAGCTCAGCATACAGCCCACCAAGAGTTATCAATTCATCGTGTGTACCCATTTCAACGAGCTGACCCTCCTCCATCACGGCAATATAGTCAGCATTCTTTATCAAGCTTAGCCGTCGGGCTATTATTATGGTTGACCGTCCCAACATCAGAAGATCAAGAGCTTCCTGAACAATTCTTTCAGCTTCGAAGTCTAGTCCTCCAGTTACTTCATCAAGCAGAAGAATTGTTGGATTCAAAAGCACAGCTCTAGCGATCGAAAGTTTTATTTTCTGCTCCTCTGTCATCGCCAAACCGGCTCGTCCGACCTAGAAGGCAAACAAGGAAATTTCCACTTCAAGGTTGATACCAACTGACAAAACATGATTTCATAACAAACTTTTCAAAAAATGTCTACCTGAGTTTCATATCCTTTTTCAAGTGAGCTGATAAATGTGTGTGCATGCGCAATTTTAGCTGCCTCCTCTATCTGATCAAGAGTAGCATCACGACCATAGGCAATATTATCTCTTATGGTCAAGCTTAGCAGAGCAGGCTCCTGTGTAACCAGGCCAATTTGGCTTCTCAGCCACTCCAGTTTTATATTTTTAATATTTTCTCCATCAAGAAGAACTTCTCCTGCACAAGCGCAAGCCACAGATGTAGTCAGCTCATAATTGTCTCCATAAACAGGTGAGTGATGCATCTTATATCATAAGTCATTGTACCTAATGTCGGATCATAAAACCGTTCCATTAGAGGAATGATGCTGCTTTTTCCAGAACCATTTCTACCAACAAGTGCAACTGCTTTTTTAGCAGGAACCGTGAGGTAAAATCCACTCAAGATTGGAATTTCAGGTCGTGACAAGTAGCTGAAATAAACATTCCGGAATTCAATATTTCCTTGAACAGAAGCCAGCACAGCTCCCTCTTGATTAGCCACCGAGGATGAACGAGTTATCATCTCAAAAAGCCTGTACGCAGCAATCCTTCCTTGATCAAATGAATAAAAGTTTGTAGCAGCTTGATTTAAACCCCTGCCCAACATAATATGCATAATCAAGTCACATTATATATATATATATACTGAGATAAAGACAATATCAGTAGAATATGAAGCTTACAGGCCACTTAAAATAACAGCAAATAGAGCTGCTATTATTTCTCCGCCATTGGCTCTTCCATTGGTAACAAAGAATCGTCCAATCCAAAGTTGCAGCGCACACGAGCATATAGCAAGCCCGTAAGTAAACCCAAGTCCAAGGCCTTGCACAAGACTAATCAATATACCGTATCTCAGGGTTGCTTGAAGGGAGGTTGCATATGAATATTTTGCAAGAGTTTCATTTGTAAAGGCATATAAAGTCCTAATGTACGAGATCCCCTGCACATTTACGATAAATCCTTCTAAGAGTTAAAGAGTATTCACACCAGAAAATGGGGCCTGTAGGGTGCACATGACAAAACCACTCCTAATCATGCAGAGACTATTGAGTTTGATTACTACGCATTTCCAGTTATCTATTTTTAGCTTCCAGTTTTCATAGTTCAAGAGTTCAGCGATCAAATTGCCACCAACGAAATTCAAGTTTCGAATTGCGGTGAAGAGAAAATCTTGATGCTGATACCATAACTTTCCAATGATAATACCTGTTCAGCAATGCCGGCTGCTTCAGCATATGCATCTTGTATGTTCTCAGCAAGTCTGTGGAGAAATATATTTGATATGCCTCCCGCAGCAACGATGAAAGGGCCAGTGGCTAGAGTAATCAGTGCAATTTCCCAGCAGTTGACAAATCCAATAACAAGTCCACTGACAAATGTAGCCATGTTATGAATATAGTTTCCAACCTGCAAAGTTCAGGATCAAGAAAGAAGGTTACAGATATAGCAAAGACACATTACTCACAGTGAAAATGAAGATATGAAGGAGAACACTAGAAATGAGAGTCAACATGATTAGAGCTGGACATACTTTTTCGCTTAAAGCTGACTGTATGAGTAAGACATCGCTCAGCACTTGGCTCACAATATCTCCATTATTACCATAAGTATCAAAGAAACTCATATCCTGATTCAATAGTACTTGGACATACTTGGACCTGATCACAGCAGTCTGCCTCTCTCCAGTCAGTATCCAGCAAGACACCTCTATTATACGGAAAATTTAGTAATAGTGGATGTTAACATCATCATTGCAGTTGTGAGGAAAGATTCATACAATGAGAATGTATTTGTACATATAGCAATAAAAATTGACTTACCAATCCAACCAGATATGAAAACACCCCCGGCAATGTACACGATGGTCAGCGAAAGCTGCACAAACAAATTAAGTAACTTAAGCAAAAAAAAATGCCTTGTTCGTATCGATCCATTCAATCAAGAAATGAAGTTTTGAGCTGTTGAAAACACTCTCTTTAGCTACTCGACCTTCTAAATCCAGCAAATTACGAACACAAAACCTAATTCACAGCTCATTTTCAACCTCTAACACCATTTCTGAGGGGGAAATTAGGAGAAGAGCTTTAAACTAACCTCGACGAGTCGGTCAAATTGATCCTCAGATCTCTGCTGAGCGGAGCCATTGGGGAAAGCAAGGACCTCTACGATCTTCGCGAAGTAGTGTAAGTAGACAATAAGCGCAGTACCGTGTGCAGCAGCAGCTACGGAGCCGACGATCATAAGCACCCAATCGAACCGGTCAGCGCAAGCGAAGAGCTGAGAGAAAGGAACAGCTGCGGGAGGTGGCTCGACCTCATCGGGCTCCTCCATCTCCTCATCAACCTCCGCTTGCGCCGCCGTGGCCGTGCCGCCGGTGTCGTTTGGGTCGGGATAGGGAGACGGTGACTCGGGAGGCTCGGAGACCTCAGAGACTGGGGTTAACGGCTGCATATGAGGCGGAGACCATCCGAATAAACCTCTAGAGATCATCATCTTTGTGGAGGAGTTCTCACAAGGAGTATCCTCCTGAGTATAAGAACCCTAGATTTGTAGTGATTTTTGCGGATCTGCTAAATGTTGGTAGAGGAAGAAGAAGAAGAATCGTAGCAGAAAAAATAGTTTCCGCCTCTTTATTTTGATTTTGATTTTTCCAATAATTTTGTTGATATTTTTTGATCTTGTGTTGCCTGTGTTTTTAATCATGAGTTTTTTGTTCGTAGGCGAAAGAAGAAAACTAAAGAGAATAGTGCGCATTACCTACTGCCAACGGTCACGACGACTGCGAGTTTTTGTAACTAATTTTCTGGTAAGACTGATAATCAACTCTCTTTTTTGTTTTGTTTTCTGGTTATTTTACTCTTATATGATTCTTACCCATGTACATGTATATATCAAGGAATTTTGAAGTGGAAAGTATATGTTAAGATATCAAGTTGTGGACAGCAAAATTACAAAGATGTTACTTCACTCATGTTAAACGTTGTTTCGAAAAAGTAGTTCATACATTAGCAAAGCATGATCCTCTACTAATTTGTCTTTTTTTCTTTCTTTCTTTTCAAGTTGTATTCATCTTCTTATGTGGTTAATTGACTGGTTGTCTCATTCTCTGTATCATGACTTCATTACTTTTCAGTTATATGAAATATATGTTTTAGTTGGAAACGAAAAAAGATTCAGGAAAAGGAATTAGAGTTATACTAATTTTTGGGTTGGACATGTTATGTCAATATACAGTCATTCTTTAAATTTCTAGTAGATAAGTTAATAATCACAATAAATTCATTTCGCTGAGACTAGCAGATATATAATTGAAGACAATGTGCCATTTTTTCCTCCAATTCTTGATTGTCTGCTTCGTTTTCTGTCTTTTTCGTAGCTGTAAACATCACAAACTATATATTCTAATTTATATGCCCGTTTTGGTTAATAATCGAAGCTACAAAAACTGTGATTATTTAAGATTGAGACTGGGATAAAGAGGATCAAATTGAGCAAACTACATGTTGTGAAAATGAAGATAGGTTATGAAGAAGAAGAATAGGCAAGTCAGAGTATCGAATCTCTCTTGCTGGAGAAGAATAATGAACAAGAAAAAAAACAAAAAGAAAACAAATACATCCGCTTTTTCAAAACAAGAGAGCAGTAAAGTAAGTAAGCAACCAAACCAAATCAAACTTGATAATAGTATTTGTTCAAACAGTGATCTTGAAGGAATCTACCACTGTATGAAGTCTGTCTTTCATCTTCTCCCACCTCCTCTCATTAGCTCCGGTCGTCAATGTGTAGAATTTTCCTGAACAGCAAAAAAAAAAAAAAAACAAACACCATTTACAGATGAATCTTTAGCGATTTCACAAAAAATATTCAGATATGATTGTGAGTAGATATATGGAGGAGTTTATATACCATTGAAAACCGTGATTACACCCAATGCATGGCGGGTGTAGTTTCTAGCCTGAACAGTGAACTCAAACTGATAATAAGTCTTCCCATCGGCTTCGTGCTGCAACAATTGAAACAAACCAAAAACAATCAAAACCAAACCACTTCCTCTTATCATCACTCACACTCAATGCTGTTATAGTAAGAACCAAAAAAAGAAGCAGGCAAGTGAGCAGGACCTCTGATGCATCAATAAGGTTTGTTTTCTGATTTGGAGGGGCCAAAACTTTCTTTATCAGCGTCTCAGCGATCTGTGACCATATCAAAATACACACACCAGGTTCAAATCGAGATCAATATTACACAAAACAATCGAATGGAACATACATATAATACCTGCTTCGGAGGTCCGAATTCTTTAATAGTCTGTTTGCTAGTGGGGATCAAATTTACACTGACGCTTTCTAAAGGCTCAATCACATCTTTGTAAACCTTGTCTTGACCCTCAATCACAACTTCCTGACCATCCATACATTACATTACATTACACAACAAAAGGAGACATTTTGACATTGGTCTTTAGTCTTTGCAAGCAAAAATGTCTAATGATGATACCTGCCACCCAAACGGATAGAGAAATGAATATGCATCCTTGTTGTCGGAGACAGCGAGGAATCCCTTTTTGCTTTCTGCAGCAACTGAGCCAATATCAATCCTCTTTTAGGATATCATATCAGCAATAACAACAATTTCGCCAACAAAAAAAAAAAAAAAAGGATAGAAACAAGACTTACATGATGCTGGAGCTCTACTAAGCAATGAGATCCAAGGAGAAACAACACCGAATGTTACCACCAGACGCCTCTGACATTTATCTGACACAAGAAACAAAAATGTAAATGGTTTCTCGCGTTTATCTGAAAAAAGTCATGTAATTTTGAAATCAACAAGGACAAAGGTTTCAAATTTGGAACATTAAAAGAGAGAAAACACAGACCCTGAAGATGAGTAGACGGAGATTGCTCAGCACGAACGAGAAATGATACTCCTTTCCTACAGAAAGGAACACCAACAAATCCGCTGCTCTGTAATCACAGACCCTAAGGATCTATTGTTAGATAGAGAAACAAGTCCTGACAATTTCCACTTGATTGGCAATTTTGAAGAGAGTAAGAGAACCTTAGGGATGGAGATTGGCGAAGAAGGTGAAAGCTTCAGAGAAGCCATTGGCGATGTGCGGAGCAAGAGTGGAGAGATTTGGTAAGTCTTCTGTTTTTTTTTTTTTTCCTCTTTGTATATATGTGGTGGTAGAGACAGAGAGTGAGAGAGAGAGAGAGATCTTCTCCCTTATGGATTCGCTTCTTCCTCAGTTTTATCCACTTTGAAATTTCCTGACCTTTTAAAAATGTTAGGGGACGCAAGGAAAATATCGAGAACAAAAAAAAAATGGAAACCCAAAATATACAAGTGATATTTGCAAATAAAACTCCTCAAAACAACTAGTCTTTGCAAGATACATCCTGAACTATAAACAAAGTATAAACAACCCTTGAATGAACTACTAAAAAATCGAACATTAGTAAACACAAAAAAAATAAAGAGAGATAGAAATTTGAACTAAAAAAAACATAATTAAACAAAAATTAAAATATCTCCTAGCTATTAATTCCTATAAACTATTTAAGTTTAATTTAAAACATCATAAGCATAACTTAAATCAAATTTAAGTTAAAACATCATAAATATATGAAGGAAAAATAATTTCAGATTTTAAGTTTATTTATTATTTTCATGTGATTTAATCTTCATTACGAACTAATAAAAATAATTTAATATTAATGTAAAAAAATATTATGAGATAAAAATGAAAACAATAGACTAAGCAAGTTTCAAGTACTTTAAGAATGGGAAAAAAAATTCACAGTATCAAAAATAATATCAATAAACTAAATATCTATAAAATATTAAAAAATATTAAAAGTATAAATAAAAATATGAAATCAGCGATATATATGTGTGAAAAGATATATATGTATTGTGAAAAAATCGTAAAAATAGTAATTTGAAAAAAAATAATGAATTAGCACTAAATTATGAGTTGAATATATATATATAAAAAAAACAAACAATAGATGAATGAGATTTATTAAAATTATCAAAAAAGTATAAAAACTAATACATTGAAAATATATTAGTTTTTAATATATAATCTGAACCGAACTGAACCAACAAATTTAAACTGAACTGAACTGATCTATTTTCAATATATAATCTGTTTGGTTGAAGTTTTTCACAACCCGAACGGTTTAGTTCGGTTTGGTGTTATACTGAATCAAACCAATAAACTAATATACTTATTTTATTTAGTTTAATAGTTAATTTATAATATTAGTTTTTTGAATTATGGAAAAATATGAAATTTCACCTAAACCAACATACCATTTCTTTTCTTCAAATTGATTTATTCAGTTTAAACCAAATTCAAACCGAGCCAAATTTATTTCAATTAAGTTTGGTTAAAATTTTATTGAACCCGAATTAACCAAACCGAACCCGAAATTAAACTAAAGTGCCACCCCTACATTGGGGAGGTGAGGTAAAAGTTGATAAAGAGAAGAGATACGAAGCTATTGTAGAGGGCCAAAGAGCTTCTACGTTCGTCTATGGTCCTAACAAGCACTGTAGTGGGCATTTAGCAGTAGTGGGCACTTTATGAATGATCTAACGTAAGTGGATGATTACATCGTCTACGCTATTGGTCGATGTGCCATCTCCAAGTTTTATGATATAGAAGACTGCTCAGTTTTCTCCTCTCTTGTTGACATACCATGGCCTTTGACCTCTAAAAGCAGCCACTAAAAATTATGCTACTATGGCCATATAAAAGCAGCCACTAATAACTTTGTGCAGCAAACAAGATTGGTGAAGGTTGATACAAGGTTATACTATCCCTCAACCTTCTCTGTTTCTCTACTCTGTGAAAACTCAAGGATATATATATATATGCATGCATTTTGAGAGATACTGAAGAAAATTGAAGCGCCTATATAATCAAATAAATTCACAACAACTCTGTCTTCTTTGTTATTGATTTTTTCTTTTTTCCCTTCTCATCTTAAATCCTTAGGATCTTTTAAGAAATGTTGATTCAAACTCACAATTTGATTGAATAATTGTTGATTTTTTCTTCACATATAACATGATTTTTGTATGAAAAACCAGACATTTATCTCTCAAAAAGGGATAATCATTGTTTAATAAATCACAATAGTGTTCTATTCGTTTTTTTAAAATGGTATATAGCAATTTTCCGATCGCCTCAATCTTTGTTTTTTTAAATCGCCTCAACCTTTGATTGGTGTATTTGGATTCCCCCCTTACTTAAAACTGACTTGCAGTATCTTCTCACACAAGTATCAAGATAATTTAGCATAACACACAAAATATATATATAAATATATATTGAGACACATGAAATTAATTTTTAAGAATGAGCTTACAAATTATTTAATTGTGCAACAACAAATGAAACTTGATATGTAGCATTATCCTGACATGAATATTTTATCTTACATGTTAAACATAAATAATAATAAAAAATAGACTCCCACAGTTTTCATCCTATTTATTTAACTAGTAAAAATATTTTGGTTGTGAAGCTATAGTTTTTTTTTTGTGTGGATAAAGTGGTATACCAATGCTATAGTAAAACTTAGCAATAAGTTCTACAAGTGCAAGTAAGGCCAATATTTGGGAGTCTGTCCAAAGGACACCTACAGTCAAAAACATTAGTTATGTTTTTTGACGCAAAAGCTCTTACGCACGAACGGTTGTAGTCAGGAAAGTCGCATGACAAATTAGGAAAATCAGCACGAATCTTGTCGCACACCCTCTTCTTTCTAGCCTCCATCTCTATTAGTTTATATGAATAACAAAATACTTTTAATAAACAATTGAAAAACATACGCAACAAAGTTTTTTTTTTTAAATATATATATATAGGTTTCAAACTTTTTTCCTTTTTATTTGTCTTATTGCAATATTATTATTCGTAACCAGATTTTTAGATTTCGCTAGTCACAAATAAAAAAAAAGAACAAAATATTAACACCTGGAATCTGATTCAATACGAGGAACATGATAACACAATAAAGAAAAAGTAACTTAGCAGATCTCATAACTTCATAAACTGATAAAAGATAATTTTTGTTTCGTTGTAATGTCTTAATATTAATATCGTAGACATATCACACATATATATATATATATATATATCCAAGACACATGATACAAAAAAAAGTTGATTCCATTAAAAGGCAAGGGTGGAGCCAAGTCAACACCTTCATTTGCGTTACGTGCATTGCGATTAACCCGCACTTAATATGGCGTAAAAGAATTTTGAGTGCGGCCATTACGTTAAAAAAGAATTAACCCGAAAATCTTTATTCAACGCCAAATAAAGAATATTTCGAAAAATCGGTAGGAAGAACTACTATTTAAATATCATAAACAATAAAAAGTCTTAATTTGAGCATATCAGTTTAAAGAACTCAAACAACAACAAATGTATACATATTTAATTCATGGGTGTAACACGAATAGCACATATTGTCACAGCGCAAAGGACGACGTAGGACTTCACGTTAAAAAAAAAGAAAAAAAAAAGAAAGAAAAGTTTTTTTTTTGTCGAACATGTTAAGATTCCTACTATTTTAAGAGTTTACATAGTTGTGAAGACACTTTTTTTTTTTGAATAAAAGCGGCCAAGGTGTTGATTCGTATCCGCACATCAAGTCAATTTGGTAAATATTATTAGGTGGAGCTTGGAGATTCTTGTTAGATAGAGGTGAGGTCGATGTGATTTTGTCGAGGTCTTTTAAGTGAGATCTATTAAGCGAGATAAGAGTTAGTGATCACAAGTATCAAGTATTTAGTCTTTATTTTAGATTACGGATCCCGTAATAAATGAGGTTACAGGGCTATTATAGTGTTCAAATTAGGTTACATCTCGGTCAGAGTAGTTTGGACGACCGGGTAGATAGATCTGACCGACCGTCTATCGGAGTGTCGTGCTGGCGAGTTGTTTCATCTACGTCGACGTGGCGAGCTGTTTCATCTACGACGTGGCGAACTGTTTCATCTACGTCGACGTGGCGAGCTGCTCGATATATGAGGCTCGTTTCTCGAACGACTTCGTTTTGGCTTGGTGAATGCGCTTTTGTCCACCTTCGATTCTGTTGGGTTTCTCGTATTTGCTAATGGGCTTGGTCGAAGTTAGAGAGAAGGGGGCTGTGCTCAGCCCACCTACAACACAAGGGATTAAAAGTCACGCGCTCTACCACTGAGCTAAGACGGCATTTGTTGTTGTGAAGACACTTATTACATCGATAGAAATACAAAAAGGATGAAAAGAAAGAAAGATGCATGCGAAGATGAATACAATAGTTAATTTTGCGTAATAGTACACATAGATAGAAAAGTATAGGGTATAGATAACAGTGTATAGAGTAGATAAGAAATAAATGTCTTGTCTTTTGTTTTCGGAGAAAAGTCTTGAAGATGACATGTATATGTATAAATGGAGAGACAATAAACTACCGGTATGTAACATCGGTGCTTGTCTTCAGTAAATTCGTTGACTTTACATGACTATTCTAATAGGGTTAGATTGGCCGTGGTATCTTGTATCCTGGTGCTTCTTTTACAAGCTGCTCTTTTGATTTATACTCCATTCTTTTCGCAAGTCCAACTTCATTGCTAAGAAGATATATATAAATCAGAGAGTGTTACGAGTGATGACAGTCACCAATCATGCCTTGCACTTTAGTAATCGGGATTGGTTGCATGATCATATATTTCTTGAGGCATGAAATGGCGATTGATTTCCTTCTGCTATTTCCTTCTAAATTTTCTTTGAATATGTTTGGACCTATCTGTTTCTCTTGAGAGCTTTCTATTGGATTTCTCTTCTTTGGTGTTCGGTTATCTTCTATCTTTACATTTCCTCTTTCGCTTTCCCTCTCATTTTTCTAAATAGAAACATGGTTGAAAACCATTCTTTGTATTTCTTTGTTGTTATAACACTGAGTTTTAGTGTGATTTTCACATCTTGTAACAATATGAATCTCAACCATGATGAAGGTACGTATTATTCTTGAATTTCTTTATCTCTGAACTTTTTTTTTTTTTTTATTTGTCACTTCGATTAGAGCTATATATAAACTAACCAACATTTCATATACGCATGATAATAATAATGAAAATGGAAGTGAAAGCACTAAAGGAGATAGGAAAGAAGATGGAGAAGAAAGATTGGGATTTTAGAAAAGATCCCTGCACAGGAGAAGGGAATTGGGATGTTCTCACTTGCGACTGTTCT